AGGGGGCACTACAGCCAATTTACCTAGGTTTGAATCCTCTTGCCTGATAAATCGATTTCATTACCACTTTGTGCTTTAGTCTCCTTATCTGCAATGGGATGATGCTATCTATTCCTTAAGGTAGCTGTAAGCAATGTGATATAAGTAAAGCACTCAAAACAATGTCATGCACATAGAAGTTTTCAGTGTTAGTTATTATTTTTCAATGACACGGTAGAAATTCTCTTGGATGTCAACTCTGCCCATGCATGCATTCACCTAATACATAATTTTGAGCACTTATAATGTGCCAAGCACTGTTCAAGATACTTGAAAAACATAAATGAACAAAACCAAAAAATATCCCTTGCCTTGTGCAGATTTTTCAGGTAGAGGGAGATAGACCAATAGTCAATAAATAGAAGTAAGTTGTATTAAAGTTTAACTGCTGTGAGAAAAAAATGATGGAGTCAGTAAGGGAAATTCGGAGGGTAGGCAAGGGTGGGATTTAATATATGCTCAATATAATATTTCTTTTTTTTAAATTTTTATTTATGATAGGCACAGAGAGAGAGAGAGAGAGAGAGAGAGAGAGAGAGAGAGGCAGAGACACAGGCAGAGGGAGAAGCAGGCTCCATGCACTGGGAGCCCGATGTGGGATTCGATCCCGGGTCTCCAGGATCGCGCCCTGGGCCAAAGGCAGGCGCCAAACCGCTGCGCCACCCAGGGATCCCCTCAATATAATATTTCTAAAATAAAATAAAACTCACTTTTTGAGTAAAACCAGATTCTTAAAGTAGGGCCCATGCCCAGACCAGCTCGGGACTTGAACTCACAACCCCTCAGACCTGAGCTGAAATCAAGAGTTGGACACTTAACCAACTGAGCCACCCAGGCACCCCTAGATTCCCTTTTTTAGTTTTCCATTTACTGATGCTTAATCTTTGGTATCCTGGTTAAAAACTCAGTCACCTTACTTTCTTCTCTATGTTCCCCATAACTTGCCATTAAATCCCATGTGTTTTTCTTTTGTAATGTCTCTCCAATCTATCCTGATTGAGCACTTAGGTTTGGGTTACTCTAGTAGCCTCCAAGTCTCTGCTTCTAGTTTCTTCCTACTCCAATCCATCCTGCTCTTAATTCACTTGCAAAGCAAGTCCTAGAACAGAGCTAAACCAGGTCTCTTCCTTTCTTTGCTGTCTATGGAATAAAAGTCAAATTTGTTCAAGGATGTTCATAATCTGGTCTGAGCCTGCCTTTTCAAGCCCTCTCCTTCTCTTTTCCTCATACAGAACTTTCCATTTCAGCCAGAATAATCTACTGTGATTTCCTGATTTCCTTTCTGCACCTACACAATGCATTAGCTTCTTTTCTAACATTGTATTGCTAGTTTTCTCCTCTTTGTAGAAGTGTTAGAAATTTCAGTAAATTACAATTCAAAAAAAAATTAAAATTCCCTATAGAATTTACAAAATTCCACACAGTGAGACAACATCTTGAAGGTAACCCTGTGGGCCTGATCTCAGCAAGGCAGGGGTGCTGATGGAAGGACTCAGGGCTCTCTGGAGAACCCACAAATAACTAAAATGGATTGATACTACCAAGCCAATGCAAGAACGAATACTTACTGGTTTACCAGCAAAAACGTGCAAACAAGTCTTTTTCTAGACTGAATGCCTTCTTTTTAGTCCTCACTTGCAAATCCTTTCTCCACTTAGTTTCTATCAAGGATTCCCTCTTGACAGTAATTTCTATAAAAGTAACGGACACCTCAGTTTTTACAATAGGCACAGAAATAATTTTGCTTGCATTAAAAATGTTTGACTCATGTGATTAAAGATTTTGTAAAAAATAAATCAATTTTTTGTTCTGTAAAAATTGTATTTTATGGAATTTAAGTAAAAACATAAAAACACTCTTGCCATTGGTGGTATCAAAGTACTTTTATATTAATCCATTTCCTTCTGTGAGGTCTTAATCCACAATGGACTACCATTTTGATTTCTCAGTGATACAATTCACATCTGACTGCTGAAGCTGCTTGCATATAAATAAATGATTCAACCAATTTCCATTACTTATATGGGTTTCAGTGCTAAGCAGGATACACATTTCTGTCAAATAAGACAGATTTTTCCCAAAGATTTCTACTAATTTAAATGGTAACCTTCAATGGGACAGTATCTAGAACTACAGGTCCAAGTATCTCAAAAATAAGAAATACGTTATTTCAGATCATCAACCAAAATCTTTCTTCTTTCAGATTTCTGGCTTTCCAAATAACTGCCTGACCTCTGGGCTGTTTTCAGCAAAGTTCTGAGTAGGCCTGAGAACAGAACCTCTTTACCAATGAAGAGTTACAGCAGCCCATCTAGTTTTTTTTTTTTTTTTTTTAAGATTTTATTTATTTATTCATGAGAGACAGAGAGAGAGTCAGAGACATAGGCAGAGGGAGAAGCAGGCTCCATGCAAGGAGCCCGACGTGGGACTCAATCTCGGGTCTCCAGGATCACACCCTGGGCTGCAGGCAGTGCTAAACCACTGCGCCACCCGGGCTGCCCCCCCATCTAGTTCTTTAAAAATAAAACACTTGTTTATTTCATCTTCCCATTATTTACTCAGTCTACAGGAGTTACTAAGTGAGAACTATGTTTTGTCTGTAAGTATTTTGTAAATATTTATTCTGATATATTAGTTTGCTAGAGCTGCTATAACGAAGTACCACAGACTGGGTGGCTTAATCAAAAGATCTATTCTTTTACAGTTCCAGAGGTCAGAAATCCAAGACTGAGGTCTTTGGAGGTTTTACTTCTGAGGCCTTCCTCCTTGGCTTGCAGATCTCCCCTTCTGCTCCCTCTTCAGTTCCTCCATGCTTGTGCATCCCCCAGGTCTGCGTGTCCAGATTTCCTCTTACAATGACAGCAGTGGGTCTGGATTAGGACTCACCCTAAAGGACTCATTTTAATATAATTACCTCTTTAAAGGCTCTCCAAATATAGTCACATCCAAAATATTGGGAGTTAGGGCTTCAACATATGGATTTTGGGAAAAGAGAATCAGCCCATGAACAGTTTCCTAACAAAGAGAGTCAAACTGCCATTTATGATGTCTTAAAGAATTTTGGCTCTACCTTTGGGAAAGGTGTTAAAGTAGCTCTGGCAGTAAATGAAACTCATAGATCAAAGGAGGTAAAGAGTCCAAGTGCAAAGTATATCTGGAAATCAGAAATTTGTTCATGGACACAGAGTTTGCTCCCCTATCCTCGTTTTATGCATAATTCTTAAATAGCCCTTCACTCTTGACCCAATGGAATGTGTGTGCAAAAAATAAGCATTTAATGTGTTTCAGGTCCTGGGCAAAATATTTTCCACACAGTGTGGCAGGGATGAATTTCCCAAGTATTCTGAGAAGGACACTGGAACTCAGAGGAGTAATTTGCCCCAAATTGTTAAGCCAGAACAGGAAACCAGGTGAATCTGACTGCAGAGCCCAGGTACTTAAGCAGTATCGTCTTCTGGTTCCTGTGCTTTCCTCAGGGTGAGGCTATGAGAACTGCAGGGCTCTCACTGTGCTGGGGCCTACCACCTGTCAACTTAGCATTCCGGGGCACCTCTGGCAGGAGAGCAAAACCACAGGCATCAGAAGAAAAAAAAAAAAAAACTAAATTAGACTTCATCAAAATTTTAAAATCTTTGCAAAGAACAGTCAAGAGAGTGAAAAAACAATTCATAAAATGGGAAAAAATATTTGCAAATCATGTATCTGATAAGCAATTAATATCCCAAAACGTATCAAGAACTCCACCATTCTACAAACAAAAACAACTTAAAATTGGGCAAAGGATTGAATGGACACTCTCAAAAGATATACAATAGCTAGTAAGTAAATAAAAATATAGTCAAAATAACAATTAGGGAAATGAAAATTAAAACAATTAGTTACCACTTCACACCTAGAGTGACTATTATATAAGCAAAAACAGAAGATTGGCAAGGATATAAAAAACCGCAACCCTTGCGCACTGGTGATGGGAATGTAAAATGGCAGTCACTGTGTAAAACTACATGGCAGTTCCTCAAAAACTTAATTATAAAGTAACTACATGATAGCAATTCTACTTCTGGATATATACCAAAAGGAATTAAAAGCAGGCACTTGAACAGATATTTATACACCAATATTAAAAGCAGCATTACTCACAATAGCCAAGACAGAAATAACCCAAATATTCACTGGGTGAATGGGTAAACAAGATGTGGCAAATGCGTATTATGGAACATTATTCAGTTCTAAAAAGGAATGAAATTTTGTTACATGGTATATAACATGGATGAATCTTGAAGACATAATACTAAGTGAAAAAGAGGCACTAAAGGACATTACTGCATGATTCTACTTATAGGAGGTACTCAGAATAGTCAAATTCACGGAAACAGAAAGATGTTTACCTCGAAAAATGGGTTGAAAGTAGAAAAGTAGGGAAGTTACTGCTTAATGGGTAGTTTGTTTGGATGACGAAAAAGTTCTAGATAGTGGTGATGGCAGAACAGTGTGAATGTTCTTATTGTTATCACCTGTACAATTTAAAAATGGTTAAAATGGTAAATTTTATGTTGTGTATATTTTACAAAAAAATGTGGCCAGTGTGAGGAACTGAGTTTTTATGTTTAATTGATTTAAACATGTTTAAAACTTGATACTTGATTATTAGAAAACTTTTAAGTATGGAGTATGTATAAAACTTTGTAATGTCCCACTATGTAAGGAATCCCTTACTTGAAGTAATGAGAAATATGATCTGACACCTATTTGAAATGCCGACATTGTTTTCAAGTCTGGGGTAATGTTAATAGAGCTATCTACTCTACCAGGAGAAATGTATTGCAATTTATACCTCAAGCTTAATTTTTTACTGTAAATCATAGAGCCTTTAAATTATCTTCATTCTAAATATTTATAGAATATTTACAGAAACAAAAGTTGTGTTCACAAAGGATATATTAAATCAAAGTACATGCCAGTATCACCAAAATGGTTTTATTTCTGTCACTGACAACATGCATAACACTGCCAATTGTATCATTACAATTTGTTTTGATTTTGTTAAATAGTACTTAAGTATGCATTAAAAATATATGTTTACATTTAAATGTAACACTTAAAGAAGTTCTCTGTAACCATAGGCCTTCTCAATATATTTTCCTGCTCTGTATCAAACATAAATAACTTAATCTACAAAACCATAAATAAAACTATTAACTCTTGTGGCCTAAGAGTATATACCGATTTTGGAGCTTGACAAAAATGTCTTTATGATTTTATGAGTAACAACATGCAGGATCTGCAGTGTTTACTATCAAATAAATGACTTATCACAAGTCGTTATTGTTTCCCAACCAAGTCTGCCAATAATACACCTTTCTAGTGCCCTTGGTAAAGATTCTAGGTGCTTACAGTCAAAATAATCAAGACTAGATTTTTATAATAGTGCAGAAGGTTGTCACTTAAATATTAGTGCTAATTTGTCTGAAGAACAAAAAAATGCTGCTAAAGAGTAAATGCTTATACTATCATTTAAATGGAAGCTAACAAAATCTAAAATAAAATCAGATTAAAATCCTATCAGCCTTGGGAAAAATATTCCAATAAGATTCTGCTACAGGAACAGATTTAACACTATCCTACATTTTCTAAAATTTACTTTGAACCACCACTTTGATTAGTTAAAACTTTCAGGGAAAAAATAATGACAAAGTGTCCTTAGAAAGGAATACTTATAATTCCTGATACAGAACACTTGATTATTTAGCTTTTGTTTAATGGCTGGAAATTTATTCTTTCAGAAAATATCGTATTTGTTGAAACAGATTTCCTATTTAGGGATTTATTAGATAAGCACTCAAACTATTTTTATGTAATAAACTTCAAAGAATTTTGCATGTCAGAAATGTTTCATTATGTGTGTTTTTTTTTTTAGGTTGTCATATGTAGAGTATAAAACTCAAAGAAAAATATTGTCAATATTTTCATTAAATTTAAATGATTCATTCAAATGACAATACTAAGCACTACCACTTTTAAATCTAAGTTTCTAAGTTTTATTTTGTAATCAATGCAAAAACAATCTGGTTCATACTGCTAAGTGACAGATAAACTTTTATGTTTAAAAAACTAAATATTCTGTGTTAAAGAAGAGCAGATTAGAACAAATCATTTCAAATTTCTGTGCTCTTATAACAGATTCTGATATGTTGTAAGTCTAAATCAAAATTCATAAATGGTGGCTGAAATTCTGTCAACTTTTAGCCCAATACAACACAAATCTATGGTTATTTTGCATAAACAATTCAAAATTAAATTTTATAATGGAAATGTCAACAAGTCATAACTACTACATTACTTCTGATGGGTTCCACTATACTTCAACCAGGCACAGCAGATGTGCACATCTGATAGACAGACTGCTTAGAAAATTAAAGCTATCAGAGCTATAAATAAGGAATACATAAATATGAATACAGCAATGCCAATGCATTAGAGCTGTTAAAAAAAAAGTAAGATGTGATGTAAACACATCTGATAGTTCTCTCTGTAAGCCATTTTCCACTGATTTATAAAGCTATGGTTTTATAATTCTTTTAAAAAGGAAAATGTTTCTACACTGCTGCATGCAGTAATTTCACTGTACATTCTTGACTACAATGCAATCTTCAAATCCTCCTGAAGAGCTTGACATATCTCATCAGGATTTCTCCAGAAAGTCAGCTTGTCGTATTTTCAGCAGCCTAGAACAAGAAAGTAAGTTTCATTATAATAAATCCATGAAAAAAGAGACACCATGGAGATATATTTGTCAATACTGCACTGTCATTAACAAACAATTCCTCCTCCACAAACACTGAACCACTTTCATCAGGATAATGCAGTGCTTTTCACTCTTTGCAATACATTAGACCTACCTTTTGAACTGACTGCTAGGCTGACAGTGGAAAATTTGTCACATCATCTTAAATAATACAGTTAATGTAAAAATACACCGCTACTTGAAAAACAGACCCAAGTAGACCTTCTCCACACACTGTATCCACCTTATCCAGTCTTTGTTGGTTTGCTTGTTTATGCATGTTTCATTATAGTGTAAAAAGGGGATTAATAATGAAAAAGATCTTTCTGTCAGAAGACAGAGGAAAAAAGGGGCAAAAGGGAATAATGAACACATGTCTAATCCTCTTCACCTATATCACCATATACTTTCCCTGATTATTTTGCAGAAATTTGTAGACACCATATAATTCATCAATAAATGATTTGAGACTTTTTTTCTTTTTAAAGATTTATTTTAGAGAGAAAGAACAAGCATGCATGCGTGCTCAGGGAGGGGCAGAGGGAAAGCAGCAGACTCCTGGCTTAGCTTAGTGTGGAGCCTAATGGGGATCTCCATCTCACAACACTTGAGATCATGACCTGAGCAGAAATCAAGAGACGTTTAACAGAGCCACCCAGGTGCCCTTGATAAATATTTCTAAAAGATAAGGATTTAAACAAGTACTTTCTCAATGCTAAATAGGAAAATGATGACTTTAAATAAATTTAATTTCAGAAATATACGGTAAACTTTTAATTCATTTACATTTCCACTTCTTAATTAAAACTTGCTTTTAAGTTTAGTCTAAGTTCAAAGACCTTTCATGAAAATCCCTTAACATGCTGGGAAAATTGTAGTTAACTCAATCTGAAACACTCTTTGCCATTAGCAGAACCTACCACGTTTGTCCAATAGTTGGTTATTCTAGTTAGCCTTTCGCTTCTTTGGCTTTATTATTCACAAGGATTAGAAATTAGTGAAAAAAAAATATCCTTTGTTCTAGAAGGGTTTTCATTTTTTTTTTTTACCCCCTTAAAAGTTCTTATATTAGCTCTAGCTGCATATCTTTAGGCATTCTGTCTTCTTCCTAACCCCATTCTCAGAATCATCTACTTCAAAGATGACTTGAAATAATGTAAACAATTTTAGAGTTTCGAAAAAATTAAAGTACCTTAACTCTAATGGAATTTGTCTAGTCCCATTCCATTATCATACTAATTGTAGAGATTCTCCTCCAAGATGCAGACATTGAAAGAAGTATTTTCACCTGAACTAATTATAATATGCAAGCCATCAACCTTGTAAAGCATTCCTATTAATATGAATGCAGCACTACTTTCTGTTTGGAAGGACAGCACTGGCATCCTAAACTCCAGTTACCAAATTGCCATTAGAGCCTTCCAAACGTCCGAAACATTGCTCCTGGGAAAAATCAACTTCGGCAGTCTTGTCTCCCGGACTTTGCTTTCCTGTGTAAGCTTATTCCCTCCTTCCTTACTTCTCTCCCAACTCCAAATTCTACAGCTCCAGTGTCCTCGTGCTGTACAAAATGCTCCTACAGTGAGGAGACACATCATTCACTCTAAGGTGTTAGTAATCATATAAGAGAAAGGGCAAGGATTATTAGTACGAAATGCACCAATAAAAGTACAATTTGAGGTACCCTAGTCTTAGAGTAGAAGACACAGGAAAGTAGGTTTTTGCCCAGAATTCCTGAAATCACAATATGTAAATGTTGCTTATACTTCAGTATTAGCCTAGAGGAGACAATATGAAAATGCAGTGTTTGATAGAAGAATCATTCATAAAAATGTCTTTTAACAACTGCACCTTAATTAACAGTCCTACTTAGCCTGTGGGAGACACATACAAATAACACATCTACTGATGCTAAGAAGTTGACCTAATCCTGTGACACACAACCAGCTACTTGATAACTAATTGATTTAAACTGTATCAATATACAATCTGTGAGAAAGACAAAACAAGTAATGAAAAACTTGCAATTTTCTACATTGTTAACTAAAGGAAAAACTGGATGTTTCAGACCCCACAGCTCCTTGCAACATTTCAGGATGTCCCTAATTTATATTTTACACATTCTAAAATAGAAGTACATATAATGAAATTCTAATCAGTAGGCTTTCTAAGTAAAGGCAGAAGATCACAACAGGTACAGTTTTTTCTTACCCTATTTTTAGTACTGAAAGAAACACAAAAAATATGAAATTAATTACCAGCAACCATCCAAAAAGGAGAAAACCATATATGCTTTATTAAGTCTGTAAAGGATGGTCAAGGAAAGTTCACAACGCAGCTCCCAATACCAACCCAGTAACAGCAGGCAAGAGAGAATAAGCAGATTTTATAATTTAAAGAGAAGGAACCTATGAAAGGTTATTCTTTAATCCATAAAGTTAAATGTAATATTTTTATTTTTAAAGTAGCATGGTATCATCTAGAATGATGTTCACCAAGTATCGCTGGTTATCCCTTGGGTGGTTCTGAACGATTTATATCCTTCTTTGTATTTTGGTATTTAAATATTTTAAAATTGAGCATTTTTTAATAAAAATTATGTACAGATTTCAAAAATCCCTTTAAAGAAAAAAAAGTCCTAATTAACATTTTTCCTCTTTGCTAGAAACTTTTCAGGATTCTCCTCCCTGCCTGGTTTTAATGAGAAACTGGCATACTGGTTGTTGTTTATAGAGCAGTGTGTTTAAAGAGGCTTTGTGTGAGACCGTTCTTCCATTCAAATAGGCAATGCTTTTTAATTTTATCTTATTTATTTTCCCTCCTATATCTCACTATGGCCCACTATTCTCACTATGCAATAACCAGCATGTTGAAAGCAAAAACGCTATGTTAAGTAGGTAATTCTCAAACTCCTATCCTAATGCTTTGTGTGTTTTATTTTGTCTAAGTAAGTGCTATGCCAAAATACTTCTCTCAGTTTCTCTTGCTGCTAACTAGGTTGTCTCTGGTTCCTTTATGGTACTCAAACTGCATTACAATATGAAAACTTCATGCTCTTCTGCCTCCCTATTCTCTGTCAAATTCCAATATAACAAAAATTCATGCAGTTGTGGAAAATGTTTATTAAATAAATTCTCTTCCACTAGAATTTCAGAAATTTACCGATCAAAGACTGATACTACATTTTATTTTTAACAACAGTTATGAGAGAATACAAAGCCAGGGAATGTTCCCATGCCACAGTCCATTAACTTAGTTCTAATCACATTTCATCTTTTTTTAAAAAGCAGGCTCAGATATTTTTTAGAACTTACTATAGGTAAACTTACAGTTAACAACCTGAAGCCAGAGTCCAAGTTTAAATCTCAGTTCAACTACATCTCAGTAAGTTCTTGGGAGAAGCTGGCCACCATAAGCTTCAGTTTCCTTAACAGGAAACTACTAACCATAGTAGCAGTACATATCACTGCTGTGACCATTAAAGAAATAATGCAAAGAAAGCTGTTAGTGCAAAGAGAATGATAAAAGGCAAGTAATATTCTTATTATATTTAGTTATTTCTCTGTCGTATGAAAGCATGGTTGAGGGTTTAACATTTAACAACAACAACAAAAAAAACATTTAACAAAAGGTTCACATTCAGAATATTTAAGACTACTAATACAAAAGGAAAAATAGACAACCCAGAAAAAAATGGGCAAACTACTTGAAAAGGTATCTTGCAAAAGAAAATGACCAAAAGAACATGTAATAACACATTCCACCTCATTGGTACTAGGAGAAATGCAAACAAAACAAAAACGCACATAAGAAACTCATACACAATTACCAAAATAACTAAAATTAAAAACACAATAAATATTGGCAAAGATGTGGAGAAAGGAAGAGAAACTCAGATGCGGCTGGTGGAAATAGAAATTGACACAAATACTTTAGAAAACTCTGGCGTTATCTATTCCAGTTGAAGATAAACATAACCTAAAACCAAGCAACTTTACTAACAAAAATGCATGCATATATATGCATCATGAGTCATTAACAACTATGATCACAGCAGCATATTTCTAATAGTCCCACCCTGGTGGTACCTGAATATCCATTCACAGTAGAAAGGATAACAGGAGTATATTTGTGCTACAAAGCATGATTGATTATTCCAGTGAAAGGGACTGTATTACAGCTACACACAACATAAAAAAAAAAACAAAAAAACAAACAAACAAAAAAAACCTCTGGGGTGCCCGGGTGGCTCAGCTGAGTAAGCATCACTCTTGGTTTGGGCTCAGGTCAAGATCTCAGGGTTTTAAAAACAGAGATCCTCATAGAGTCTGCTTAACATTCTCTCTCCCCCTCTTTCTCTGAACCTTTCCCTGCTCATGTATGTGCTTGGATGCACTCTCCCTCTCAAATAAACAAATCTTGGGGAAAAAAAAACAAAAACAAAACAAAAAACAGGGCAGCCCAGGCGGCTCATTGGTTTAGCAGCGCCTTGAGCCCAGGGTGTTGATCCTGGAGACCTGGGAGCAAGTCCCACGTCGGGCTCCCTACATGGAGCCTGTTTCTCCCTCTGCCTGCATCTCTGCCTCTCTCTGTCTCTTATGAATAAATAAGTAAAATTAAAAAAAAAAACCATAAACCTCACATCCTCACAATTCTACTCGTAAATGGAATCCAAACACTCCTCCCCCCCCACACACACAAACTCCCAAAATAAAGAGGAAATCAGATCTATAAAAAGAGAAGAAACTAATGGTTGCAAAGAGGAGGGAGAGGAGTTCGAACAAATTGGGTGAAGGTGAGAGGGAAAAATAGGTTCCAGTTATGGAATGAGTAAGTCACAGGAATAAAAGACACAGCATAAGGAACACAGTCAATAATACTGTAATAGTGATATCACCAGACAAGTGGCAGCTCTACTTGTGGGTGAACAGATAGCATAATATACAAACCTGTCAAGTCATTAAGTTATACACCTGAAACTAATGAAACATTAATGTGTCAACTATATTAAAAAAAAAAAAAACACTCTCAAACATAATGTGAAATGAAGAACCCAATAAAGACCTCTATGATCCTGGTTTACATAAAATTCAAAACTTTTACAAAATTAAACTGCAGTGTTTAAAGACCCATGTTTAGTCAGTAAAACTGTTAAAAGTAAGAAAGCTCCTACCATAAAAATCAGAACAGTAGTTATTGAAAGGGGAAGCAGGACAGCCGAGGTGATAGGGGAGCTCAAAGGAACTTTAGGGCTCTGGCATGAGAACTGCACAGATAGTCTCTTTATGACAAATTTTTGCTGTGTAAATGTATTTGGTTTACCTTTCTGTGTTAGATTTAATAAGAAAGTTTAAAAAAATCTCAAAAACCCAAAGCACTGGAACTTACTGGAGACTGACTTAATTTTAGATAAATTACATGCATTATATAGTTTTGCTTTCTCAAAAAAAAAAAAGAAAAAAGGCTAGAGAAATGTTGTCTGTCCTTGGACAAGTTTTCAGAAGGATTAACTTGAGTATCAGCATCTGTGATGAGTTAGTTACATAAACAAGGAAATAAAATCATCCAAGGTCTTAAATCAGTGTCTGGAAGCAAGAGGGAATACACCTTTCCTGTTCCTAATGCGAGCAATTAAGAAATGGCGAGTATGAATTTGAAAAAAAGATAGTCCTCTGGGCCCCTGGTAGCAGTGCAGCCAACTGGCCTCTGCAGTCCCTTCGTCTTAGAGCTACTATGTGTCCTTCTTCCCTCTTCTTGAAGGAGAGACACTTCTTCACAGCCAGGTAGCCCTACTGGCCAGTTTCCTTCCTGTAGAATCCAGAAGTATAGAATCCCAGCCTTTTTTCATTTTGTCTGGGACCCTTTTATTGGGGTTAGAGATGGTTGACTACATCTATGAATCATATACTTCATCTCACCAGAGCCACCACTCTGGGCTTTCTCTCCAGAGTATGCTCTTTGGGTAAGGCTGAGAATTTTCCAGATCAATTGCTGGTTCCTTTTTTCTTAACCAGTTCCTTCCTCGATTTCTCATTCCTCTTACATTTTTATTTAAGTAGCAAGGAGAAATCTTTGCTACTTTCCATACTTTGTTAGGAAATTTCAACTAAATATCCAAGTTCATCACTTACAAGTTTTATTTTTCTTCCAATAGTAAAATATAATTCAGCCAGGTATTGTCACTTTACAGCAAGGACAATCGTCTCTCTGGTGTTCAGTATGTTCCTCATCAGATCTCACCAGAAGCCATTATCCATTATTTCTAGCAACATTCTGCTCAACATGATACATGTATTCGCTAAGACAATTAAAGCTTTCTCTACAGCTCTTTTCTCCTTTCTGAGCCCCTACCAGAACTGCCTTTAATGTTCAAAGTTCTACCAACACTTTCTTCAAGGAAAACTGGGCCTTTTCTATCAAGTGTGTAAAATTTTCCAATTCTACCCATTACCTAATTCCAAAGCCACTTCCTGACTTGCAGGTATTTGTTACAACAGCACCCCACTTTCTAATAGTGAAATCTGTATTAGACTTCTAGGGCTGCCACAACCAGGTACCATAAACTGAATGGACTGAAACAGGAATTTATTTTCTCACAGTTCTAAAGGCGAAAAATCTAAAATCAAGATGTCAGAAGGCTCTAGCAGAAGATCCTCCCCCTGGCTTCTTCCTAGCTTCTGATGGCTGCCAACAATCCTTGGCTACCATCGCAATCTCTGCCTTCACTGTCACAAGGCAATGTCTGTGTCTGTGTGTCCACATGGTACTCTCCTGGTGTATCTCTGTCCAAATTTCCCTTGTCTTATAAGGACATCAGTCATTAATCCACTATCTCATCTTAATTTGATTATACCTGCTGATACACAATTTCCAAATAAGGTCACATTCACAGGTACGTTATCTTTTTGGGCACAGACACAATTTTACTTACAACACTAGGAAAATTCTAAACACAGCTGGAGACTTCTGTGAAGAGACAATGTAGTCCATGATAGTAGCAATGCTTGTAACTGAACATACGTTACTAAGACTCTGGTTTTCAGAATTTCTGATGGTGACAGAAACTAATTTAATCACATTTAAGCAAGCTCTTCCACATAAATTCCACTCACCATTTTCTATAAAGCATCTTTCCTTAGAATAAACATACAAATCTCTAACCTTTAGTGCTTCAGTGGCCTTGCGAAGTTCCTTAATAACCGATGATAAAGCTTCTGGGTTAATTCCTTGTTCACAAAGCCGTACACAAATAGACAAAGTTTCCATATCTAAGCCAGTATTCAGAATTCTTGAAATTTCCAGCAGAACTGAAAAAGATATAGAGGATATTTAAAAAAAAATTACATTTAAAAATACGTACACAGTATTGTTTTTAATTCATATAATATTGCAAGTACCAAAAACTAGCACAGTATCCCTAGATTTTGAAATTATCATGTAATACTGTCTTGTTCTCTTACTTAGCCTAGCATCAGAAATACACTTATACTCTCCCTCCACATAACTGCTTTTTAGACTTTGGTTTATATTCTACAACTCATTTAATATCTTAAATATATGCATTATAATGAGGAGTATTATGAACATTTCCCCATTTTTAGTATGCTTTTACAATATAATTTAGTCTTACAACATTCCATTTTATGAAAACATCTTATGTTACTTAACTACTCTACTATGTAGGAGTTACTATTTAGGAGTTAAGGGTCTCAAGTTTTCCCCACTGAAATAATCCTGCGATAAACATCTGTACATACTAACTATATTTTATTTCATTAGGATAAATTCCTAAAAGTGCAATGCTCAGTGATGTACATATTTAAGGCTTGAAGTGCTTAGAAACTTCTACAATTTGACAGAGTAATCACGTCTGTTGAAATCATGAAAGCTTATTTTTTTAACTTTTTTTTTATAGTACTTCATTTTATTGCAGTTTATAAAAGTAATTGACATAAGAAACACTAGCAAAGGGAAGCACAGAATGTAAATACACTGGCTCCATTACATTTTGTTTTATGGTGGTTATTCCCCAGAGCATGTTTAGAATTTGTTAAGTCAATGGTCAACATATTATATATGGCTGCCTATATTATTTTCCCTTGGCAGTATACTTAGAAAGTTATTCCCCATGCAAAGATTATATAATTATATACCAGGATTCCCTTCTATTACTTCAAAGTTTGTTTCCCATCTGCCTATAAACACTTGAAGATTTAACTCCCTGGAGTTCAGGTGGAAGACAGGATTTAACTTTATCTCCCCTAAATAAGCCCATTTCCTCAATACTATTTATTGAATAATCTCTCCTACTATTCAGCTAAAATGCCTCCTTTATCACAGGAAATTCCCATTTACCCATGCATTTGTTGCTTCTCTTATGTCAGAACCACAATTTTAATTACTAACTTTTATCAGCATGTAGAAGGTTAAAGATTCTGTTATCTTTCCTTTTCATAAGCCCTTTCGTTCTCTCAGTGAACTTAAAAGTCTTAGTCAAGGGGTGCCTGGGTGGTTCAGTCGGTTAAGCATCAGACTCTTGATTTCAGTTCAGGTTATGATCTCAGGGTTGTGAGACAGCCCTGCATTTCCACACTGGGCATGGAGTCTGCTTAAGATTCTTTTTCTCCTTCTGCCCTTCCTCTTTCCTTCTTTAAAAAAAAAAAAAAAAATCGTATCAGACATTCATTTACATCTCTAGAGTTTTGAGTTTTTTAAAAAATGTCTTCCGTGCCTCTACTTAACTTTTGAACACATGGAGGACAGTTCAATGTCCTTGTTTTGCTAATTCTAACATATGTGTCAGCTTTAGGTCTGTTTCAACTGACTGAATTTTTCTACCATGGGTTGTTATTTTCTGGCTTTACATACTTAAGAATTTTTTATTAGATGCTTGACATTGTAATTTTACCTTGTTGGTTGCTATTTTTGTATTTCTATATACATTCTATATTTTTAATATTTATATACATATTCTTGGGTTTGGAATGAGATGCAGTTACCTGAAAGCAGTTTGATCCTTTTGAGTCTTTTAAAATTTATATAATCAGGATCAGATGCCTGTTTAGTGTACAGGTAATTATTCCTCACCACTGAAGGAAGACCCTCCTGAGTATTCTGTTTTGCAAATTATCCCTGTTCTGGTCTCTCTGGACTCTAAATTCCTTCTGCTAACTTAGGGGATCCACTGGGTTCTACCTAGGTTCATAGCACCCCTCAACCACATTGATGCCTGGTAACTCTCGGAAGGTACCAAGAACAGATAACTTGTGGATTCTTTTCATTTACAGTCTGGGATCACTGTCCTTTACTACCTGGTGTCCAGGGTCTTTAAAAATATTATTCCACCTGGGCTTTTTGTTGTTTTTTTCTTCTTCAGGTAGGAGGGTAAATAAATCCAGTTTCCGTTACTTCATCTTGGCTGAAAGCAGCCCTTTCCATTTCACTTCTTCACTTTTGATATCCTAACATATCAATACTGCTCTTCAGTTGTATGCAGGCTGTAGTTCTTGTTATCTGCTGAATTCATTTCAGTAACTCTATTTTGAGATTTCTTATTTCCCCCTAGTAACTGCTTGTTCAATAGTTAAATGCTTTTTTTATAACCACTCATTTTGTAGCTGTTGTTTCTGCTTTTACCTATTTGAAGCTACACGCTTGTCACTGGCTATTTTTGAAAGGTGCGTTTTCTATTTTAAGTATATGCATGCAGCAAAAAGGAGTGGTTAAGAGTCTGCTCTCTAGAACCAAAGTACTTGAGTTCAAATTTCACCTTCATTACTTAGTAGGCAAAGTAACCTTTCTGTGCCTTTCTTTTACAATTTTGTGAAATAGGAGTAGTAAGTACTTACTTTATAGGATCAGTGTGAGTACTACAAGACACACTCAGAATGCTGTGTCCATTGGCATCTCGCGCTCAAAAAGAGCTATTACTAATACCTTCTCTCTTTTCAATTTTTGTTTGTGTTGCTTATGTTTTGTATCTACCTTAGCTACTTAGTAAGTAGATTTCTGGCTGGAAGTTCATCTTCCACAGATTTTTCTTGATGTCTAAATTGGTGAAGCATTCTTGGGATAGGTAGTCTCACACTGGTCTCAGCCCTCTGGATCAGACCTGGTGGAAGCACACTGGCTCCAGACCCACAGGACACATGGATGGTACTTCCCAATCCCTGGCCATGGCAGATGGCACATTTCTGGCCTCCAGCTTCAACCAGGCACATAGGACACGTGGATGGTACTTCCCAATCCCTGGCCATGGCAGATGGCACATTTCTGGGCCCCAGCTTCACCCAAGCAGCGCAGCATGCTTTGTCAAGTTTCATTCCCAGTCTCCTGCTGTGGTTCCCATCTGCTCCTCTCTTTGGGGAAAACCTTTCTCTTTCTAAGCAGGAGATTTTTGCTTTCTTGAACATGGCTGTGCTGATAATTGCATTTTTACTAAAATTTTTCCTGTTATTTTTATATGCTTGGAGCAGAAAGTTTTAGCCAAGTGCTCAATCATCATCAATTTTGATAGTGAATCACCAATTTCTTTAATTTTTAGTTTTGTTTTCATAAATGCATTCTACCTTGCTTTGGTATATTCTAAGTGATTAATGTAGATATTCTAGAATATACTTATTTTTATTTTGTAGCCAGCCATCTTAACAAATCCTACTGATGTCTTTTAGTTAATTCTCTTCTGTTTTCCAATTAGATAATCATTTTACCTACAAATAATAGTTTCATGTCCTAACAGTCTTTTTCTTTTTTTATCCTACATTATTTGCTAAAACTTTTGTATCAGTGGTTAAAAAATAATTAAGTCAAAGAAATGCTTTTAACACTAATGTTAAGGATGATGTTAATTTCATATAACTATTCCTTGGCGTGTTAACAACGTACTGTTTTCTTTCACTAAGACTTTAAAATTAGAAGAAAAGTGTTGATTCTTATGAATTCTTTTTCATCAAACACTGAAATGACCAGGCAGCTTTCTGCCTTTGACATAGTAAAAGAGTACATTATATTGACAGACTATATTCACAGCTGAAGAACAGTGAGCTTAGGAAATCCCTACTTTTAATTGTAAGCAAGTTAGTAAACTTGTTCTTTATCTGGAAGTAGATGTTACCTCATCCCTCAAGTTGTTCACCATAAATACACTCTTGAGAAACCGCAGGAGGAAGGCCTTGCCTTCTCAGCCTATAGAGCAAGACTGTTCAAGTAGGCTCAGGGCTCACAGGCTGTATCTCCCAATAGTGACACTGCATGACTTCTGATGCTAGACTTGAGAAGGTAATATGGCTTCCTCCTGGCAATCTCTTGAAGCACTCTCTCTTGCACCCTAGCCACCAAGTGAGAAGAAACCCACATGCTGGAGACAACAGCCCCTGCTGCAGGCCCAGCTAACATGTGTCAACTAGAAGATATGTGAGTGAGAAAGCTTTGGGATGACTCTAGATTCAGCACTAACTGCAATGCATTAGAGACCTTCAATGAGAATTACCCAGATAAGCCAGGCCACCATACAGAACTGAGAGACAAGTACTTGTTGTTTTGTGCCAAGAAGTTTGGGATGGTTTGTTATGCACCAGGAAAAATGAAAGCAGGTACTCTGACCCTACTCCAACTCTCCAACATTACCAACATGAGCACCATCATCAACTATTCCTGACAAATTCTCACCAGTTTTCTCTGCATGACAGACCCTGGTCTATAAATGCTGTTTATTTCTGATTTCATGCCTTAGTTCATGCTTTTCTCCTCTGCCTTTTCTCTTCTCCCCATGTAATTCCATACTCTCTCTCAGGTCCATCTCAGGACTATTTCTTTCCTTTAAGCTTTCTTATAAAATCTATGTTGATCTTTACCTCCTAACTTCATAACCTATCTGTAATAAGTACTTCTGTGGTGCCTACTACATAACTGATACTTATATGTATTTTGTGCTATGTTACTGTTGGAAATACAATTGTGAAAAAAGACAGATATGGTCCCAATACTCATGGAATTACTGTATAGGAGAAATAGATATTAAAGTAATAACTGATCCTAGCCAAAAGGGAAATAAAGAAAGAAAAGCATACCTCCAAAACAAATTATAAGGGCATCTTACATAGTTGTGAAAGACAAGTGTTTAGGAAAGACTTGCCTGAAGAAGTGACAAGTAAGCTTACACTTCAAGGATGAAGAGAAATCAACCTAACACAGAGGTAAGAAGTACAAAGAGTGTGAAAAAAACAGCTTGTGCAAAAATTCCTGCATTAAAGAGAACTTGGTAAATTCATAGATCTGAAAGGTTCTAAATGTGGAGGCAATGTAATTCCAAGGAAAACACAGGTGTAAAATATGAGAAAGGACAGGCATGAACACTCACTAAGTCTCTGAAGATTTCAGAACTTTGGTAAGCTACTAAAAAATATAAAAATTAAAGTATGACAATCAGATTTTCATTTTTACAAGACCCCTGTGGCATAATATAATGATCCTGGAAAGAGGCAGAACACCCGTGGAGAGGGAGTCAACTTACTGCCATCTTAGAAGAGAGATTAAATGGTCAAACCTGAGACGAAGGAAGAAAGACTTAGTGAAGAACAGAAGGGAGGGGAGGTGAAACAAAGCAAGAATGATTCCTAGGTTTCTTTCTTCAGTGACTGACTAGACTGATAGCAGAGAGACTATATGTCCGTTTCACTGACATGCCTTGTATACTGTGAACTTTCTTAACTCCTTCTAACTTACTACCTGATATGTACTAAAGCAGCACTACACTGAAACCCTCTGGTGAGGAAGAGGTTCCTTTTAATCACATTTATAACAAGCATAATTATTAGTAGTAATTGAAGCCATAAGGAAATTTTTTAAATTTAAGAAAAATCAAAGTATAAAACTACCAATAAAGAGTACCTAAAATTTCAAAACATTGAAAAGCAAAAGAGGTAAGTGAGTACACTGGAGAACAGAGAGAGAGGCAGTATAGAAGACTGACATTTTTAAGAAGGAATCTGGAGAGAATGTTGAGGATATAAAAATGAGAGGAAGGGATTGACAGAAGACCTTATACTAAATCAGGGCCAGGGTATCAGTCGGGCTCCTTTCAGAGTAAGCCACACAACTACAAGCCTACCTGCTCCTGAAGTATCATTTTCAACATGCTTTCACTTCACAAAAATAAAAATGTTTATAGCTGAGTTCTATAACCCTGAAATCATGCAGATCCATTGGATTAGCTGATTCTAACCCAGCCATTAGAAATGACAAATACCCACCATTTGCTTCGATGTGGATGGAACTGGAGGGTATTATGCTGAGTGAAATAAGTCAATCAGAGAAGGACAAACATTGTATGGGTCTCATTCACTTGGGGAATATAAATAATAGTGAAAGGGAATAGAGGGGAAGGGAGAAGAAATGGGTAGGAAATATCAGAAAGGGAGACAGAACATGGAAGACTCCTAACTCTGGGAAACGAACTAGGGGTGTGTAAGGGGAGGAGGGCGGGGGGTGGGGGTGACTGGGTGGCGGGCACTGAGGGGGGCACTTGATGGGATGAGCACTGGGTGTTACTCTGTATGTTGGCAAATTGAACACCAATAACAAATAAATTTATTATTAAAATAAATAAACTAGTTGATTCTAGTAGTGATAGGAGGGAAGTAGTAAGATGATGAGAACTACACTAATCCTGAGAGAGGGTACTGGACTCAAAAACTTTTGGCACTCAAGGCTAGACTTAAGTTCAATGAAACCCCGCATTAACAAAGTTTCAAATGATAATCCTATTTGGGTAGTTCTGTTTAGCCCCTTTAGGCAAGCTGAAATTTTGTTTCTGGGAATGAATGTGGAGGAAGGTGGGATTATAAAATGACAACATGGGGATGCCTGGGTGGCTCAGTTGGTTAAGTGTCTAACTTAGGCCCAGGTCATGATCTCAGGGTCTTGGGATCCAGCCCAAGGTGGGCTCAGTGCTCAGCAGAGGAGTCTGAGTCTGCCTGACTCCCCAGCCTCTAGTTCCCCATCCTGCTGTGAGGGTATGTGTGCGCCCTTGCTCTAATAATTACATAAAATAGTTTAAAAATAAATAAAATAAAATGAAAACATGTAGGGTTTTTCCAGTTCAGTTTATGATTATTTACAGTGTTTTTAGTGTGCTTACCTTTGTGTCTTAATTATTAAACATGGAAAAGTTTTACATTAATTTTGCAGCAATTTAACTTCATATTTTATGTGACTGTCTTGGACTCCAATTATGGCAGAATACCAGGGATTTTCTGTAAGTTTAGAATTCTAATAGACGTGATATTCCCTAGCTGCCACATTTAATAAATGTTGATTCAGTGCCAACCCGGGGCCTTTTTATCTTGAGGTTTGTGGACTAACTGTATATGAAGGAGCGGTGTTCTCTAAGTCATAGAGCCTCTCAATTTTTATTTTTTAAAAAATCTGTATTTCTTCACTTTTTCCTGTTCTTTCACTCTCAATAATCTTCATTTTACACATACTCCTCCCAGTAAAAATATTGATGACGCAACCAATAGTCAGTTCTCATTTGTACATCAATAGTTCCACCAGTGATAAACTGGGAGTTCTCCATTCAAACAGGATTTTGTGGCCCTATAAATGAGGAACCTAAGTATAGCCATCATAAGAAAATTGACAGAAGTGGGGCCTCATACTCTATTCTTCAAAAGACCCACCGGCTTCCAAGCAAAGATGTAAGACAATATAACCATCGCTCACTTTTTGAAAGTTTATCTTATTTCACTTTGCTTTTATGGAAGCCATACATTAGTAGCTATTTTTGCTAACCAAAAGAAATCCAATAAATTTTTGCTTTTATGAAAATAGGCAAAAAGTGAAAATAGTGTTGTTTGTTTACGATAAGCCATTAGAGCCAGCACATAACCCCAGCATTTAGTGTTTGTTACTGCCAAGCTCCTTCCCCAGGAACTAAACTCAATCTCTTGCCATCAAGCTCCCAGAGCCTTAAACTAGTGTCTGGGAGCATCTGTGCTTTATCTCTATTTATTCTGTGCATCTGTTAACAAGATGTATCCTAGGGCATCACAAAACCCTAAGAAAGGTTATTTTGGGGAGTCTGAGAATGCTCAAAAAATTTTTCAATTCGTATTGGCTCTTCACTTTACATAATTTCAGCTTAGGAAAGGTTTCATGGGACCAGTCTGCTTCCAGATAGCTGGGGAAACCTATAATGTGGTACACTGAGAAAGAATGGGAAATAGGCTGAATATGATGTTAATAAAATTCTGGGGTGCCTGGTAGTTCAGTGGGTTGAACATCCAACTCCTGATTTCAGCTCAGGCTTGATCTCAGGGTCATGGGATGGAGTAGAGCCTTGTTCCTCTCTCTCTGCCTCCACCTCTAAAATAAATAAAATCTTTAAAGAATAAAGTCTGTTTTCTTTTCAGAGAAACAGCAAAATAGATACTTGGTAAGTAAAAAGCTAGATGCAAATGTTCTAATGTACATAGTTCTTTGAAAAGGAAAGCAGAGCAGCCCCAGTGGTTCAGCGGTTTAGCGCCACCTTCGGCCCAGGGGGTGATCCTGGGGACCTGGGATCGAGTCCTGGGTCGGGCTCCCTCCTTGGAGCCTGCTTCTCTCTCAGCCTGTGTCTCTGCCTCTCTCTTTCATATATAAATGAATTTTAAAAACCTTAAAAAAAAAAAAAAAAAGAATGTAAAGGAAAGCAACAACCTCTGCAGAAAAAGCCAGAAAACTTTAAAAGCCAGAAGCCCTTTAAGGAGTGACTGTATCAGTAAGTGAATCCCACAGGGAGATTCAGCAGAAAGGCCGGCACAACCAAGAACTGCAAAGTTTCTTCCTTTCTTAAAGATTTTATTATTTATTTATTTATTTATTTATTTATTTACTTACTTACTTACTTACTTATTTATTTATGAGGGGGAGAGAGAGAGAGAGAGAGGCAGAGACACAGGCAGAGGGAGAAGCAGGCTCCATGCAGGGAGCCCGATGTGGGACTTGATCCCGAGACTCCAGGATCGCGCCCTGGGCCAAAGGCAGGCGCCAAATCGCTAAGCCACCCAGGGATCCCCCAGAGTTATGTTTCAATAGAGATAAAGACTCATGTTAGTAACCCTCCGGAAAATGCAAAAAAAAAAAAAAAGAAAAGGGCATCAAACCCCTAAGTGGATGCTATAAAATGGAGACAAAGGAGTCCGCAAGTAGTGGGATGTACATGTAATACAACCCAAAGGTCATGGTAACTATTTTTTGCTTTATCGCCTCTGATACGCCTTTGCTTTGTGGTCTTAAATATTCACAAAGAACTTCTGGGAGGAGGTGACCTCACTTTATAGAAAAGAAAGAAATGGGGATCCCTGGGTGGCGCTGAGGAAACGGCCGGACGCCGGGGGTGGGGGGTGGGGCGCCCGAAGCCGGCTCCGCGGGAAAGGCCGCCAGGAGCCCGCCGCAGCGTGAGGCGCGCGTGAGGCGCGTGGGGTGCGTGAGGCGCGCGTGAGGCGCGTGGGGTGCGTGAGGCGCGGGGCGCGCGCGCCCGGCTGACGTGGCGGCTGGAACGCCGTGCGCGCGACACAGTACGCCGGAGCCCAGAGAGCGCTCTCGAAGGATGGCACCCTCAGCGCCACGGCCTCGGCGGATCCCCTGGGAGGATCCTCGAAGATGCCGTCCGGGGCCGGAAGTGGACCTCAAGTCCTTCTTGGCTTCCCGCCGCCTGGGGGCCCTGGCTGCGGGAAACGGAGACAAGGTAAAGGGGGGGGCGAGGGCGAGAAACGGGCACTCACCGTCCATGGTCTCCCTCACCGCGTTGAGGTTCGCCGCCGCTGCCGCCGCCGCCCCGGCGCCGCTGCTGCTCGCCATGGCGGAGGCCGAGGGAGGCGGGAGAAGGGCCTGACCCGGAACTGGAGCGCCAGCCTCTCTCCCGGGCAATCACACCACGCGTCCCCCGCTCACGCCGGGCAGGCTCCGCCCCTCGCGCTCGTCGGCGGCGTGAGGCTGCGTTGATTTAAATTTGGAGCCTCGTTGCTCTGCGCGGAATGCGAAGCGGGGAGCTGCCGTTCGAATTTGCTACGCGGCCTCGATGCGATTGGTTGGTTCGCGGACGGCGGTGCGACGCGATTGGCCAGTTCCCCCACGGGGCCTGTGCGCTGGTTGGCCTAAGACAGCGCGGAAGCGGGGAGTTAAAGAATCTGTGCCTGTCGTGGGAGCTGGCCGGGCCCCCCGGGAGCGCCCTGGAGTCGCCTACTGGGGGGGCTTCCTTTTTTATACGCACCACTAGGTACGTTCTCTGTCGCCCCTGGCCTTTGCTCCTGTCTTGGGTTGGAGAGCTCCCTTTTCCTCCCTTGCCGACCCACCTGCCCGCTGTCCCCCGGGGGGGAATGGGAGCAGCGAGGGAATAGGTGCGGAAGAGGGTGGGGTACGGGGGGGGCGCCGAGCTGTGATCGCCTAGGACTGGGAGTGGCACTGGCTGGAGTGTCCACCTCTGCTCTTCACCCCCAAGGAAGCCAGCTGCTCCAGCCTTCCAGAAGCGGATCCTTTCTCCCTAGTCGTACCGACCCCCTTTGACTGCAAGTAATGCAGTCTTGCCCTCTACCCTGGACGTCGTAGCGCAAGGAGGATGTTTGAGGAGGCAACCGAAGGGCGGTTAGTCTCCTAGCCCTAATCAGCCGTGCTTCGGGGCTAACGTGGAGGAAAGACACTCGTGCTTAAGCTTCCTTGCCTCGTATATATCTGCCTGCTGCAAATAATTGTTGCTTAGCAGCTGTCGTTTGATAGGCAATTGCTGGGATATCCGAAGTATGTTAAGTGTTTGGAGACTTGAAATAAGTAATGAAGAAACTATAGGTTTTAGTTGAAACGATAGCCTTTTAGTTGGAAAGAGTTTGGTGCCTCTAGACCCATTTCGTTGCTTCGAAAGCGGACCTGAACTCATTCATACGCGGTTGACTGCTACTTTTGTGCTACTTAGCTTCTCTGAGTTTAAATCTTCTGCAAAATGATATCCCTAATCATATCCCGTACCTCTCTAGTCCTCAAGGTTATTTCGAGGATCACTTTAGAAAATGTATGTGATGCCTTTTGTAAACTATAAACCCAAGAGCATTAGATTTTGAGTTCTTTATGCAAAATGTTTGTTGAATACATTTTAGTTGTCAAAATGAATGTGGAATGTGCCAGTTTTATTGTTCATAATGCCTTTTTTTTTTTTTTTTTTTTTTTTAGTTTTCTCTCTGTGCTATGGGAGATGTCAAAGAATCAGGAATGCAGATAACACCGGAAACTCCAGGAAGGGTCCCAGTTCTGAATCCTTTTGAAAGTCCTGGTGATTATTCTAATCTCCATGAACAAACTCTCTCCAGTCCTTCTGTTTTTAAATCAAGGAAATTACCAGTAAGCTATTCTTGACTAACATATACAAATTATCTTACATGTAAACATCTTTCTTTACAACTTAAGGGAGAAATTTATTATGGAGCACGTGGGGAATTTGCTTTCTTAATTGTAATGTTCACTGTAGTGACTGGGCTAATAATAAGTTAGGTAGATTTTTTTTTTTTTTTTTGCCAACATTTCTCTTTTTTTTTTCTTTCAGTAGATAATGTCTTGGCTTCTTGCAACTGGATATAGCTAGATACTGTGGTTGATTATGTATTTACTAATAACACATTCAAAGAGAAGCTATTTCATCTAATTATTCTCCTTTATTGAGCAAACCTATTTGCTGCTGTGTGTTAAAGTACGAAGCATAAAGAATAAGTCAGGGTCATTAAACACAAACTCTCAAGGAGCTTCTATTCTAATGCAGGGATCAGCAGACTTTTTCTCTCAAGGGCTAGACAGTAAATATTTCAGGCTTCACAGGTCATCTTGTTGCTGTTAAGACTAGTCAGCCTCTGCCTGGTATCACAAAAGCAGCCATAGGTAATATATAAACAAACATGGCTGTGTTTCAATAAAGCTTTAATTATGAATGTTTGAATTTCATGTAATTTTCTCATGTCATGAAATAATTTTTTATTTTTCCGATCATTATTAGCTTGCAGATTGTATAAAAAGAAGCCAACATCTACTCTAAAGGAAAAGAATAACTAATCCAGCAACTTCAAAACAATATATGTGCTGTTAGTGGTTAAGGTGGCTAAGGGTGCTATGGAAGGGAAAGTGCTCCTTTGGAGATTAGGAAAGGCTATTACTTTAGCTTATTTTTACTGTTACTTGCTACCCTGGCGTTCTTTTGAAGTATGATCTTTTAACCTAGTAAATTACCTAGAAAAACTGCAAAGTGTGTGGCTGTTTATGCTATATTTTCATGTCGGCTTAAACAAAGAGCAAGTTAAGTTGTACAGTTAGGCAGTTTATATTGAGTTAATCTGACCTCATGATTTTTGATTCAACTGTATTCCATTTTAGTTACCTGTTAATATAGAATAAATAATAGATTGGCTGCAACTTAATCCTCAAAGCCAGAATGTGTAGGATATTGGGTTTTTAAGCCTAATTTTGTCAAAAATGCATTCCAAATTACAGATTAGGATTTGGGCACGTTTCTGGTTCAGTTGGATAGTTGAATCCAGAAGAGTAGCAATGATTACTTTTCCTAGTTATTTTAAGGATCAACTATTTTATGATCTTTTGCAGGCACTTCTGTAGTTAGGACTTCATTTCATTTCAGTTCATTATTAGTGAAAGTAAAGACCTTTGATAACTCTAATAAGAGATTTTTACTTTTACTGGGGTATGTTGCATTGTTGATGAGTATTAATTCTGGAATTTCTATACCTTTATTACTCTACTGTGATTTTTCCTATCATTACGCAATTTTAAAAATCACCCAGATGGAAGATTCAGATATTTTAAAATACAGGCCAGTTGATTTAGTGTGATTTGATTATCATTTGCCATTTAATTTAGTGGTAAAGCCAAACTTTAAAATACAGCTTTAAAATACTTTTGCATTATAACCATTCACATTATTTTTGAAGCTGACATTTTGGTTAGCTTTTTGGTTAGCATTTCGATTAAGTATTTTAGTTTGCTTTTACTCATAAGTTCACTTTCTTTTGTTAAGACTCCAGGGAAATTTAGGTGGTCTATTGATCAACTAGCTGTAATAAATCCTGTAGAAATAGACCCAGAAGACATTCATCGTCAAGCTTTATACTTAAGTCATTCTCGGTAAGTTTTCATTTTTTGTATCTAAGTATAATAACATATTATTAAGTGAAGAAAGATAGGAAATTCCAAAAGCTGAATATATTTATATGTAAAGATAGCAGGGAGGAAAGATTCTGATACAGATTTATTGTACCTAAATGAAGAGTGAGTTCAAAGAAAGAACTGTATCCAGAAAGAAGATGCCCTTGCTAACAGTTTTAAACCTGAGTAGGGATCTTCTGTGGTTTTTTTTTTGTTTTTTGTTTTTTGTTTTGAGATAACTTTCTTCTGCTACTTATGGGACAACTGTGCTTTCCAGCACTTAGTAGAAGGAAGACCATTTTGCAATTTGTACCTTTCTATATGATTGTGGCTTTTCCCATTGAGTTTTTGTATTGTTTGTGGGTTTTTTTTTTTTTTTTTTTTGTGGTATGGAGTAAAGCAAAATGCTCTTTCATTTCTGTTTGTGTTTGAGGTTTGAGGAAGCCTAAAATCCCCTCACCAAATTCAAACACATTAAATGAAATGGTATCCATTTGCAACAGAGAGAGCTTTTCTAGATATTATCTAGCTTTGATATAAGACCCTTAGGGATCTAAATTACATTGTATTGCAGTCAATCTGTTAATCAGAGCAGCCTTAACTTGTTGATATTTTATATAGGTTTCTAAGCACTGGTGTGTCTTGGACTGGTGTACTGTGCTGCTTGATGATGTCCAACATAGAGACGACATGTACTTCTTTGGTGGAACACACCTAGCTTTTGATTACATATTACTGTAATCTGTAATTATAAATAACAGTGTTTGTTAATAGTTTTGGGGATTCTTGTTGATGTCAGTTTTATAGTCTGATTTTTTAGATATTTGAAACAATTGAATACTGATGTAACCACCTTTTAATTTTCACTCCCAAGGTACATGTGTTGTCTTTCCAGAATAATGGATAATTGTTTTCTCTTTAACTTCAGAATTCAGTCACAGAAAAATGTATATATGTTGCAATACTTTTGCAAATATTTGTCTGGGTTTTCTACCCCTTCCTCTCTTGCTTCGTAACTTGATGACCATTCACTCACAATTAATGTCAATCTAGAAGTGTCATAAAAAGGGACTAGAATGGAGAGAGAGCGTAAAAGAACTTTAACTTAAAAATAAATAGTATCTTTGAAGAGAAAGTGAAAGTTTCAGAATCTAAAAGCAAATGGGTGGCATCAAATTAGACTGATTTTTTTTTTTTGTTTCACACAAACTATTTGCTTTATTATTTGCCTCTTGATATATTCAATCATGGACAAATGTTATCTTAGTTAAGAGGTATTTATTGAGCGCGTTGAGGAATACTGAAGAAGTATAGACTATTATTTCTAATATGAACCAACAATACAGTTAACCAAAGTTGTGGCACAACATTTCTATACTTATTCATAAATGATGTATTCTCTAGGTAGATTTATGAAAAGAATCTTGGTGTATTTCAGTAGGTAGATTTGTAATACAAAAGAGAGGAAAAGAGTGGGAAAGACCGTAATTTTAATATAATTTACTAATGTAATTCAATACATGTTTATGGCTTCTACAAAGGACGGTGAGTACAGTCTCAAGAAAACATTGATTCATTCTTAGAAACAAGCAGTGGCTTCCAGTGCCTCTTCCTTTCTAATCTGAGTTCCCAGTTTCAGTGCTTCCCACCCTTTCATACTGCTACTCATAAAAAATGATGACAATAAGGCAGATGGGTGTAAGCAAATGAGTCTGTCCATACAGAAGTTGAACAGTCCTGAAAAGGCCCTCCTCTACTCAGGATCCATTCAGGATATCTGTGTAACCTAGATGCATCATGCCAGTGTTCTGTGATATAATGGTCAGGATACTCTGTCCTATATGACTTCTTAGAACCTTCCATGATCAGGTGGTAAATATTTGCCTAAACTGATTTTCACTGCTTCTAGCAATCCCCTAAATATTTCAGGTTCTTAGTCCATCTGATGCAGCAGAAAATATTTCTGAATGAGGTAGTACTAAATCAGAGCTTACTAAGTATTATATGCTGTTACTGTGCACTGTCATTTTGACCTGCTTTATGTGCATGATAAGATAAAGAGAACTGAGTTATTTGCCCCCCAAAATGGCTATTGTTCAAGCTGAGATATGTGGATTATCACTGTAGTCTATTTTCTCATCATTCTTTTACTTGAAAAATTCACTTGATTTTAATTTGTGAAACATATTCTTATATGAGGTTTGTTAAGCTACTAATATATATATGAAAAACTTGGAAAGACATTCTTTTAAATTGTTGTAAAAAGAAGTGTTTACCAACTTATTAACAGAGAGCAAATAGTCTTCCCTGGGACAGATTAAAGTGGTCCTCTAAGGCTAGCTGCTTAGTCCTTGGCAAGTCTATGCCTCATGCTGGAGACCCAACATTTTGTTAAATCTTGTAGCTGATAAACTTGTGTTGCTGTAATTGCATATTGTATCAAAATAAAAAAAATCATTTGGACAGAATTCTATATTGTCAATATTTTATTTCATAATTAATATTTTTGTTCCTTAATTCAGAACTATGATAGTTTCTTTTCTTCTATTTCAGAGTAAGAGTTGATTCTAAAATTATGGCTATGATAAACTTGCTATAATTGAAGAAAAAGAATTTGAACAATAGATTTCTGTGGAATGAAATGCCTCTTGTGATAGTTAAAGAACAAAGTTTATTCAAATTACTTTATGTTGTTAATAGTAATTTAAAAATTGTATCAGTGTAAGCCCTTTAACAGAAAATACTATTCCATTCAAACTGAATGGAAAGGAGGGAGGTAAGCCTAACAGCACAATGCCAAATATCCAAATACTGTCATTTACTAAATGTGATAAGATACAGGTTGTTGTTTTTTTAATGAGCCTAACATTTGCCAGTTTTCAACAGAAGGAAATTATTTCTTTGAAAGCTTATTATTTTAAATGTTCAATCAGCTGAAGTAATGGCATGGTTATGTTTCTTCTTTATCTCTGTATAGAATAGATAAAGATGTGGAAGACAAAAGACAAAAAGCCATTGAAGAGGTAACTTAAAACTGTTACTGATCATAAAGCCAGTTAAGCATCAATTCTGCGTGCACGTCACCTCTTTTAGGATGACTTCCTTTAAATCTTTTACTATCCCAGAACCTACCAGCCTGGCCTGTCCCTAGCCGTGTCAAGTGCCCCTCTGTACTCCCATAAGACCAGTGTTGTTCAGCCATTCCAGTGCCGGTCATAGTGCTGCTATTACAATATTGTAATGATTGGTTTAGTGCTTCTCTCCCCTTGACTAAATTCTTTTTTTGGCCAATATTGTACTTTACTTATCTTTTCATTCTCAGGACCTATCAAACAGTTTGTCTTCCTTGTGCCTTCAGGATACTGATGAGCACAAACTTTTGTTTCAAGTTGGAGTTTGTATAGGGGAAGTTGAATATTTTCAGACCTTGGAAATCGAGATTGGCATTGGCAATAGTTTCATCTTTTGTTGTTGTTAATGCTTTGAGTTTTCAAGACGCAATATATTTCATGAAATAAAATACCTTTCTAAAACACAGAAGAAAGTATATTACACATGTAGGGGTTTTTTTTTAGATAAAAATAATAAACCAAGTTTTTCACTTTTTGCTCATTTGTTTGATGATCTCCTCCTAGAGTGCAAACCAGGGTTATCTATCTAGTTATTTCCCAGAAAGTCTTTATGTCATGACAGTACCTGTTTTTCCTTTTTCCCTTGCCAGCCCTCTCTAACCACCCCTATTCCTTAGCTATATTCAACTCTTCTGAATCCCAGAACACTTCAGCTATGGTGTGTGTATAGAAATTAAGTGATGCTGTGCCGCCCCCCCCCCCCCCCCCGCCGGCGCTTATTTTTCTAGTGTTGATATTGGCCCCTTGTGTTTCAGATATAGCATATTTCTTCAAAAACTCTTGCATGTGCTTTCCTCCTCCCAAATATTATCTGCTTATTTATCTAGTAACTTCAGAATTTTCATTCTGATCTATCACTTGATTCCACCACAGTTGAATATCTCAGACTGTTTCCCATTTCCCAACATTTTAGAAAATGTGCTTTCCCTTTAGAAGCCTCAATTTTAAAGGGAAATTCAGCAAAAAATTTAAGAAAATAAAATCAGAGTGAAAATTAGGGTCAGTGTATCAGAAACAAGTTAATGTATCAGAAACAAATATTTTCAAATGTATAAATATTTGAAAGAATAAATACATGCAGATAGTATAAACAAAGTTTAGACTTCAAAGAAAAATTATAAAGTGAAAATAAAGAGCTTCTTGTTTCCCATCTTACTTCCTAAAAGTAACTATGTGACTTTTATATTTAGATTAATTTTATGTATATAATGCAAATGGCCTTTAACAAATAGTATCATCATTCTCATACTGTTTTGCATCTTTTTTTGCTTAAAAATGTTCCTTAGTTTTTTTTTTTTTTTAGCACATACTGATTCTTAGTAATGGCATAGTATTCCTTTGTATTAATGTATCGTAACCTAACTGAGCCCCCTACTAATACTTACGTTGTATTTGATGTTTTCCTATTACAAATAATGTTTCAGTGAACACACTTGTGCATATATCTTTGTGTGATTGCAACATACTTGGGAAGTCAGAGGCTTTGTGTTTTCAGTTTTGGTAAATTTTGCAATGTGGCTCTCCCAAAAGGTTACAGCAGTTTTTACTCCTGGTCATGTTATCATACCCACTGTTTTCTTCTATCTGCAATACTGATTATTATTCAGCTTCTTAATTTGTATTATTCTAATCACTTTAAAAATTTCATCTTGTTAATTTGGATCTATAGGTCTTTAATTTTGAATGGACTAATACATTGCTTCATTAGTTGGTGGGGGTGGGTCTTTCATATTTTTTTTCTGGAAATTGTACATATCATAATCTCTGCTCCCCTCGCCCCCCCCCCCTTTTTTTACATCTTTCCTCATGTCAAAGAAATTGTTCTTTACCATATGTTTAGCAAAATATAAAGAAAATGTTTTGGGGGTATCTGCCTGGCTGGCTTAGTCGGTGGAGCTCAGGACTCCTGATCTCAGAGTTAAGGAATTTGAGCCCCATATTGGATGTAGAGATTATGTAAGGGAAAAAAAAAAAAAAGAAAATGCTTTGAATTCCTTCCAAAACAGAGAGAGGGAAGGGAAAAAAACACTATATTAGACTTTATATCTGGAATGAAAAAAGGAAAAATATGTATCCAAATGCTCTTACCTCCATTTGAATATACTGGCCAGTGGTATACTGATAAATGTTTGACAGCTGGCCCTCTGAGGGAGGAGTATGATTTTTAGTGATTGCTGCTATCTGTAATGTGAATACTCCGACCATGACCAGTTTCAAGTTACTGATGTGACATTACCCAATGGTAAAAGAAGTGCAGTGGGAGTTCCACCATTCTTATTAATCTCAAGAGCATGGATACTGGTCAGTGTAAAACAGTTAGCAAGTAGAGAATTGGGGCTTTTGTGACCTTTATTTTTTATATACTTAATTGTAAGTTTACAAGTTTTTAACATTGGTTTTAACAACTGATGCACAAAATTCCTGAAAATTTAATAATTAGATCTTGAGAGCCAGTATAAGCCAGTTCCAGCATACCATTCTAGGAGCTTACTTTTATATATTTATTTCCATTTATTTCTCCCTTCTTCATATTCCCTTTTGTCATCTCCACATTGCCCCCCCCCCAATTGGGAGGAATTTAAAATATTTCTCTATGATTAATGCCCTTAGATTAATTTGCAAGTTTTAAATTTAAGTGGTGGAAATAGTAACATCTCTCTTTATATATATATATATATATATGTTACATTTATTTTACCTTTGGTCATTTGTGCTTTTAAGTATTAAAATTTTTAAATGTAACTGTAAAGTCTTTCTGTATCACATTTGATGATTATTTGAAAATAACATAGGTACTTATTTATATTTGGGGGGGGGGGAAATTATGCCTAATTGTATAACTTTAATTTTTCTAGTTTTTCACAAAAGATGTCATTGTACCCTCTCCTTGGACGGATCATGAAGGGAAACAGCTTTCAGAATATCATTCCAGTAAATGTGAGTGCATAAATATCTTATGAATAAAAATTATAAAAATCATAGAATCATAAAGCTCAGTGAATGTAGAGCAATATACAGTGAAGTGTCAGCTTATTGCTTTGGTAAGGAGCTTGATATTAGATTTCTGGATACATTTAAGGGTCAAGCTTCCAAGTAATGAATGAATAACTCGAGAATAAAAGGCACAACATAGAGAATATATTCAGTGATACTGTAATAGCATTGTATGGTGACAGGTGGTAGCTACACTTGTGAACAGAGCATAATCTAGAGAGTTTTATAGAGTTGTCAAATCACTGTGTTGTATATGTAAAACTAATGTAACATTGTGTGTCAGCAGCAAAAATGCTTAGAGGTTACAGTTTAAAATGTGACTAAAATATACTGAATTCTTTTTTTTTTTTTTATTTTTTTTATAAATTAATTTTTATTGGTGTTCAATTTATCAACATACAGAATAACACCCAGTGCTCATCGCGTCAAGTGTACCCCTCAGTGCCCGTCACCCATTCACCCCCACCCCCCACCCTCCTCCCCCTCCACCACCCCTAGTTCATTTCCCAGAGTTAGAAGTCTTTATGTTCTGTCTCCCTTTCTGATATTTCTCACACATTTCTTCTCCCTTCCCTTATATTCCCTTTCGCTATTATTCATATTCCCCAAATGAATGAGAACATACACTGTTTGTCCTTCTCCGGTTACTGTGGCCAAGTTCAAAAAGGACACTGTTTGTCCTTCTCCGGTTACTGTTGCCTGAGTTCTCCTCTGGGATTTTGATGGAATCTTGTCTCACATTTAGAGCTTTCATCTATTTTGAGTTTATCTTTGTGTATGGTGCAAGAGAGTGGTCCAGTTTCATTCTTCTGCATGTGGATGTCCAATTTTCCCAGCACCATTTATTGAAGAGACTGTCTTTCTTCTAGTGGATCGTCTTTCCTCCTTTATCGTATATTAGTTGAGCATAAAGTTCAGGGTCCACTTCTGGGTTCTCTGTTCTGTTCCATTGATCTATATGTCTGTTTTTGTGCCAGTACCACACTGTCTTGATGAACACAGCTTTGTAGTACAACCTGAAATCTGGCATTGTGATGCCCCCAGATATGGTTTTCTTTTTTTAAAATTCCCCTGGCTGTTTGGGGTCTTTTCTGATTCCACACAAATTTTAAAATAATTTGTTCTAAGTCTCTGAAGAAAGTCCATGGTATTTTGATAGGGATTGCATTATACGTGTAAAATGCCCTGGGTAACATTGACATTTTCACAATATTAATTCTGCCAATCCATGAGCATGGAATATTTTTCCATCTCTTTGTGTCTTCCTCAATTTCTTTCAGAAGTGTTCTTTAGTTTTTAGGGTATATTTTGAGAACCATTTGAATGGTAAATGGTTCTCCAACCTTTTATTTTCAGGTTGTAGGTGTCCTTCTGTCTAAAATGAGTCTCTTGTAGACAGCAAATAGATGGGTCCTGTTTTTTTTATCCAGTCTGAAACTCTGCGCCTTTTGATGGGGTCATTAAGCCCATTCACGTTCAGAGTTACTTGAACTTCTTCTTAAAGGGGAGTTTTAAGAGTCCCCCTTAAAATTTCTTGCAGGGCTGGTTTGGAGGTCACATATTCTTTCAGTTCCTGCCTGTCTTGGAAGCTCTTTATCTCTCCTTCCATTTTGAATGAGAGCCTTGCTGGATAAAGTATTCTTGGTTGCATGTTCTTCTCATTTAGGACCCTGAATATATCCTGCCAGCCCTTTCTGGCCTGCCACGTCTCTGTGGAGAGGTCTGCTGTTACCCTAATATTCCTCCCCATGAAAGTCAGGGACTTCTTGTCTCTTGCTGCTTTAAGGATCTTCTCTTTATCTTTGGAATTTGCAAGCTTCACTATTAGATGTCGAGGTGTTGAACGGTTTTTATTGATTTTAGGGGGGGATCTCTCTATTTCCTGGATCTGAATGCCTGTTTCCCTTCCCAGATTGGGAAAGTTTTCAGCTAGGATTTGTTCAAATACATATTCTGGCCCTCTGTCCCTTTCGGCGCCCTCGGGAACCCCAATTAAACGTAGGTTTTTCTTCCTTAGAGTGTCATTTATTTGCCTTAATCTGTCTTCATGGTTCTTTAATTGTTTATCTCTTTTTTCCTCAGTTTCCCTCTTTGCCATTAACTTGTCTTCTATGTCACTCACTCGTTCTTCCACCTCGTTAACCCTCGTCGTTAGGACTTCTAGTTTGGATTGCATCTCATTCAATTGATTTTTAATTTCTGCCTGATTGGATCTAAATTCTGCAGTCATGAAGTCTCGTGAGGCCTTAATGCTTTTTTCTAGAGCCACCAGTAGCTGTAGAATAGTGCTTCTGAATTGGCTTTCTGACATTGAAGTGTAATCCAGATTTTGTAACTCTGTGGGAGAGAGGGCTGTTTCTGATTCTTTCTTTTGAGGTGAGGTTTTCCTTCTAGTCATTTTGCTCAGTGCAGAGTGGCCAAAAACAAGTTGTATTGGAACACGGGGGAGTATCACTGGTCCCTCTAGCTGGTCTTCTGGGGGAGGGGCCTGTTGCGCTGATTTTCAGGTGTTAGCACTTGGGGGAGCTGCTCTGCCCCTGCCTGCTGCCGGGCTCAGCCGGGATTGTTTACCCCGTGGGGCCCCAGGAGGAACAGTCGCAGTTGCTATGGCAACTCTGGAAGCCTGGATTCAGCCTCCGCAGGAACTACGGGGCTCGGGCTCGGGGCTCTCGGCTCTCCGTCCGCAGGGCCTGGAGGCTCCGGGGCGGGGCCACTGATCTGCTCAGCTCGGGGCAGGAGCGTCCTCGCTGTCCTGGGCCCTCCCGGCCTCTGCCTGTCCCGGGGGAGGCCGGATCCTGGGCTGTGTCCCGGCGCCCTGTGCTCCGGGGCCTGCGCTGTGGGATTCGCGCTCCCGCCCCGCAGCCCCCTCCCTGGAGCCGCCGCCCGAGCCCCTCCGAGCTGCTCCGGTCGGTCCCGCCGTGCGCGCTGCAGCCCTTAGGGAGCTCGGCGCACTCTCCCGGGGCGCAGGTGTCTGTTAGTGTCCCCGGGAGCCCGAGGGCATCCCCGCCCTCCTGGGTCCTGCTCCAGCTCCCTGGGAGCCCCTTGCCGCCCGGGAAGGTTGGTGCAGCTCCTGCTCCTCCGGGACGGGGCTCTCCTGTCCTGGGGACACTCGCCCCGGCCTCAGCCCGGCTCCTCGCGGGGCCCCTCCCCCTCGGAGGCCTTTTGTTCCTTTATTTCTTTTCCCCGTCTTCCTACCTTGATAGAAGCGCGGACTTTTCTCACTGTAGCGTTCCAGCTGGTCTCTCTTTACATCTCAGGCCGAATTCGTATATTTTCAGGATGATTTGAAGGTTATCTAGGTAATTTGGTGGGGACAGGTGATTTGGGGACCCTGCTCTTCCGCCATCTTGCCCCTCCCCCCACTGAATTCTTTTTATGGCCATTTTATCTTGAATTTAACTTTTTCTTCATGACCATTATGAATATCCATTATGATGGTTATAGAGGATCCATTGATGCCAAAATGGTTGATAATAAATCAAGAACTGAGCTGTTAGTGATTTCTGCCTAATTTTCAAGGTTAATATTTAAAATGAAACTCTTAAATTGTTTTGTTTTTTTGCTAATTTGCCGATTTCTTATAAATATAGAAGAAATATGGACACTTGACCTAGGGCAGTGTAATATAGATGATTATATGCAAAATTAATGAGGAAATTGAAGGACAAACCAGTAATCTTTCAAATATTTTTCTGCCTCCAGGAAATGGTTATATTTGCTCTCACTGTCCTTTGAGTTATGTGCAGTGTTTGAGTATTACTTGTATATATATGCTCATTTCAGTGAAATTGCCCATTCTTCTATTTAACGTACATTAATTATGCTCTCATTGTAAGAAAGACTATTTTATTCATTATCAAAAAACACAATAATAGGTAAAATGAATTGAGCACTTTCCATGTGCTATACAGTGCTAAGTGCTTTCAGTAATTTTGTACAACAGCTCACTTGAGGTAGATACTATTATTGGCCTCATTTGATGAGAAAACCTAGTTTTAGAAAGGTTAGAGCACTCATTCAGGATTACAAAGATGATAAAAATGGTAGAACCTTGATTCACAACTAGATGTTCTACGTTGAATTCTGTATTCTCAGCCATTACAAACTGAAGGTAGGGTGCAGTAGTGGACAGAGACCTGAGCTGGAGACCCCCTGCTACTATAAACCTGTAGAAGCGATCCTGAGATCTTTAGACCTCAGCTTTTCATTTCTAAAATAAAGGAGTTAAACTACATAGTTGCCTGTTAATGTCCATCCCAGTGCTAAAATTTCTATCCAAGGTATCATTTTCATAGACACTAGTTTTTTCCCCCTAACTCCTTTTATGTTGGATTTTTGAACAGATGACTCAACCTTTTATGTGGTCTTTATACTGGTTGGTCAGAGGCAAAAATGGTTTTGTTTATTCACATTGGCTTATACTGTTAACTTTTACTATTAATACTTGTGCAGTAGGGCAGCCCCAGTGGCGCAGTGGTTTAGCGCCGCCTGCAGCTCAGGGCATGATCTTGGAGACCCTGGATCGAGTCCCAAGTCCGGCTCTCTGCATGGAGCCTGCTTCTCCCTCTGCCTGTGTCTCTGCCTCTCTCTCTCTCTCTGTGTGTGTCTCTATGAATGAATAAATAAGTAAAATCTTTAAAAAAAAAATACTTGTGCAGCAAGGTGCTTCAATGAATATCCTCATGTGTTTTAATTTATGGACTTGAGTGAGAATTTCTTTGAAATATATACATAGGCTGAGAATTCCTAGCATATGAGCTGTGTGTTTACCTGTTTTGACTATGTAGTGCCCGCCTGCTCTCCAGAATGCGCAGTCTATACAACTACCAACTGATTCCTATGCCCCCACATCCCTGCCAACATTTGACATTATCCAGGTTTCAAATGTTTGCCTTTTGTTTTTTAAAATTTAATTTAAATTACACTTAACTTATTAACATATAGTGTGTTATTAGTTTCAGAGGTAGACTTGAGTAATTCATCTGTTGTTTATAACACTCAGTGCTCATTACATCGTGTGCCCTCCTTAATGTCTACCACTCAGTTAACCCCATGTCCCCATCCTCCATCCCTCCACAAACCCTTGTTTGTTTCCTATGATTAAGAGTCTCTTCTGGTTTGTCTCCCTTTCTGATTTTGTCTTATTTTTCCCTCCCTTCCCCTATGTTTCTCTGTTTTGTTTCTTAAATTCCACATGAGTGAAATCCTATGATAATTATTTCTCTGATTGACTTATTTCACTTAGCATAATACCCTTTTTTCCATCCACGCCATTGTACATAGTAAGATTTCATTCTTTTGGATAATATTCCATTGTGCATATATAACACATCTTTATCCATTCATCTGTCAGTGGACATCTGGGCTCTTTCTATAGTTTGGCTGCTGTGAACATTGCTGCTATAAACACTGGGGTGCAGGTGCCACTTCGGATCACTACATTTGTATCTTTGGGGTAAATACCTAGTAGTGTAATTGCTGGATCATAGGTTAGTTCTATTTTTAATTTTCTGAGGAACCCCCATACTGTTTTCCAGAGTGGCTGCACTAGTTTGCATTCCCACCAGCAGTGTAAGAGGGTTTTGCTTTCTCCACTTCCTTGCCAACATCTTTTGTTTACTGACTTGTTAATTTTAGCCATTCTGACTTCTGACTGGTGTGAGGTAGTATCTTACTGTGATTTTAATATGTATTTCCCTGATGCCAAGTGACATTGAACATTTTTTCATGTGTCTATTGGCTATTTGCATGTCTTCTTTGGAGAAATGTCTGTTCATGTCTTTTGCCCATATCTTCTTGACTGAATTATTTATTCTTTGAGTGTTGAGTTTGATAAGTTATTTATAGATTTTGGATACTAGCCCTTATCTGATAAAAAATGTTTGTCATTCCTAATGAGTTGTTTGACATTCTAAATGATTTTTGAAATTTTCATTTCTTCATATACTAATGGTCTTTGAAATTTCCTTTCTTGCAAAATACTTATTTATAGTATATTGGTTATATTTATATTGGATTGCTGTCTTTTTTTTTTTCTTGTTAATTTCTAAGACACCTTGTGTAACAAGGTTATATTGGTTCTAAAGATTTCAAATACCATTTCCCAATCTGTCATATTTATGCTGTTTTTGTTCTTGATGTCTTTGGTTGCAAAGAAATCTTATTTTGATGTAATCAAATACATCAGTTTCTTTTCTCATTTGATGGTGTTCTTAAAGCTTATTTAAGAAGTCCTCCTGGAGGAAAAAACTGAGGAATCACTCACAATAGAGTTGAAAAGCATGATAATGCTGCAGTTGGTGCTTTTCTGATCTAAGGAGGTCAGGGAATGCATGCTGGTGGAAGACAATTTAAGCTGAAACTTAATTAACCAGACTCAGCAAATAAGGGAGGAAAGTCAGAATAGCATGAGAAATACCTAAATATGAGGGAGAAGCTCGTTTTTTTTAAGGTGCTCAAATAGTGTTTAGTTGGAGGACAACTGTTCTAGAGACAGACAAGGTTTTGAAGGGCTTTCTATGACGCTGAGGTATTTGGGCTCTAGCCTGAAGACCAAGGACATTATAGAGTTTTCTGCAGCAAAGTGCCTTGACTACATTTACTTTATAGGTCACACTGCTTACAGCAAAGAAAGCATTCAAATGTAGAATTTTCATGTTTTTTTTTGTTTTTTTTTTTTTACTCATTCTCACAGTATTTATTAGGAGGCTTTAATTCATTTACCCATCTACCCACCTATTCATTCATTTATTTATTTAGGTTTGTTAGGTTATCAGTCTTCTGTAATGTTCTTTTAAGCTTTCTTTTTTTGTTGTTGTTGTTTTTCTGGGTTTTTTTTGCTCCTTCCCTTTTCCTTTTATTTTGTTTATATTGGTCATTTTTGTCATTGTATGTTTGTTTTTTCATCTCATAACTTTCAAGTCACCGAAACTTAGTAGTCATTCATTTTCTTTTTTTTTTTAGTAGTCATTCATTTTCAATTTAAAAATATTTGCAGCCTGACTTTAGATTCCTGTTATGAAAAGAAACAAAATATTTTTTATCAAATTTTATGTTTTGTTGAAATTATCAGGCATTTTAATTCAGACAATTTATATAACCCATTTTGCCAAAACATTAAGCAACAGAGGATATGTTTGAGGACTTTGAGGTTGACTAACGTGCATCCTCAATCTTTTAAAGTTGACATAATACAGAGTAACCATACTTTCCTCAAAAACTATTACTTGGTACCTCATCTGCTGTGGTAATCCTTCAAGTTTTATTTGTACTCCTTCAGAATTAAAAAACTAATAGAAACATGCCAAATTATTAGCTATACAGATTTTATTTTTAAAGTGTTGTAGAATAAAAGTTTTCACTTTGCTTACTTTTTTACTCTGGGAGAGGTCACTCTTGAAGGAAATGAAGAATATAAAATGTAAGATTTGACATTTAAAATGTTTTACAGGTATTAACATAACTAGTGACTCTCCAACTGGTAGAAAGCTGACCATCCATTCTGAGAAAAGCAACGGTGAGTGTGAATATAATTTGAAATGAAGAATGTTCCACATTAAGCTACACTTGATTTTTTTTTTTAAATTTTTTTTTTTTTTAATTTTTATTTATTTATGATAGTCACAGAGAGAGGGAGAGAGGCAGAGACACAGGCAGAGGGAGAAGCAGGCTCCATGCACCGGGAGCCCGACGTGGGATTCGATCCCGGGTCTCCAGGATCGCGCCCTGGGCCAAAGGCAGGCGCCAAACCGCTGCGCCACCCAGGGATCCCGCTACACTTGATTTTAAATTGTGTTTGTGTGATAACACTTTACTCTGGAATTGAAATTGTTTAATTATGAACTATACGAGAGCTAATTTTAAAAACAATTAGAATAGATAAATACCACCATGTTTTAGAAATAACATTAGTATGTGTGTGTTGTTTTCTTATTTGAAGTATGGGAGACGGTTTCTGGTTTTGGAAAACATTTTTCTGAAATTTTGTGAATAATGAGGAAATCTATCCCCAAATAGAGTTTACTCTTGAACAAGATGGGGCCTATGCGTATGAACCCCTTATGCACTCAAAAATCCATATAGCTTTTGCTCCCACAATGTTCAACTGCTAATAACCTATTGTTGACTGGAAGCCTTACTAATAAATAGTCAACATATATTTCGTATGTCATTTGTAGCGTAATTTTACAATAAAGTAAGTCAGAAGAAAACGTTAAAAAAAGTCCTAAGGAAGAGAAACTACATTTATAGTACTCTACTGTATTTATTGAAAAACATGCACATTTAAGTAAACCTATGCAGTTTAAATCCGTGTTGTTCAGGAGTCAGCTGTAAACTGGCTTCTTTTCTCATTCCAGTGCCAGCAGTACAACCAGGAGTTAACTCTTTCCATTAACAGGTTTATATCAGTGCTGGAAGGTGTGGGAAACTGCTTATAGAAAGGTGGCATGTTGTTTAATAGAATGCATAAATGAAATAATTCAGTTTGTCTGGAACATCATGGGGAGATGGTTGATTGGGAAGCACATGCTAAATTGCATGTAATATGCTTCCATTGATTTATCCATGTTTGTATTTGTTTATCTGCTTGCTTCCAGCTGCTTGTCAGACATTGCTGTCTCTTCCTGTGGATTTTAATTTAGAAAATGTATTAGGTAAGTATTGTATTTGTTTAAACCTTTAATAACTTAAATAGAATGTTTTGTTTTGATGGCTTTAAGTAAGTGGAAATAGGTGGCAATGTCTCTTTGTAAAGAAGTGGAGAAACAGTCTTGAAATTTCTCCTTTTTCTTTAATTTTTCTTTTTGTCCTAATGAATTTTGCTTTAGCCCTTTATCTGATAAAAAATGTTTGTCATTCCTAATGAGTTGTTTGACATTCTAAATGATTTTTAGACATAAACTATTCTTGGGCACATCATGTTGGTTTTACCTACACTAATAATAAAGTACTTGAAAAAGGAGTAATTTCAGATTTCAAATGTCACATATGCAATTAAATTTTGCCCTCTTTATTGAACAAAATTCAAACATATAGTACATGCTGTTTTTTAAAAAATCATGTAACTGAAGCGCAATTGCTCTTCAAAATGACAAGCCTTGCCTTTTATTCTGTTAATATTAAATATAGGTGATTATTTTAGAGCTGATGAATTTTCAGATCAGTCTCCTGGAAACCTGAGTTCTTCATCCCTCAGAAGAAAGCTATTTTTAGATGGCAATGGAAGTATTTCTGACTCCTTACCTCCAGCTTCTCCCAGAAGTCCTTGCAGTGGTGCTCAAGCCTCACTTGAGGTTTTTTATTCGATAGATTTATCTCCTGTACGGTGTAGGAGCGCTGTGCAGACACCAAGTTCGGTAAGAAGCATACTGAACATGTACTATAGTTTGCTGTAGATGGACCACAATGCCCATTTTGTGCTCAAGGAATGGTTGCCTTTGGGTTTTATATTTTTGTGAGGATTAGACTAGTTCACATTTTGTCATTAGGAATATTTTGGTCAGGAATCCCTGGGTGGCGCAGCGGTTTGGCGCCTGCCTTTGGCCCAGGGCGCGATCCTGGAGACCCGGGATCGAATCCCACATCGGGTTCCTGGTGCATGGAGCCTGCTTCTCCCTCTGCCTGTGTCTCTGCCTCTCTCTCTCTCTGTGACTATCATAAGTAAATAAAAATTTAAAAAAAATTTAAAAAAATTAAAAAAAAAAGGAATATTTTGGTCAGACTTCATTTCTGTATTTAGAGGTATAGGGGATGACCAGATTAATCCTGAGTCTCAAGGAATTCCAATGTAAGTTATTTACTGAACTCTATGTAAGGTTTTCCATATATGACAATAGAATTGACATTCATGGAGTAAAGTTGTTCATTAACAGTTGCTAGTATGATATAGGATGGTTTGTTTAAACACTGCATTTATATTTTACTTTGACTAACATAATTCTATTTCAAAATTTTTCTAAGTCTTAATTGCTTTTGTCACAAGATGCCTTACCTTTTGGTGAATGACCAAAGTTTATATGATCTACTTTGTAAACGTGTTTTGAAGATGAAGATAAATAGCATATGGTATAAGAAATGGAGAAAGAGAACCATGCAATTTTATTTATTTTTATCACAGGGGCAGTTTTCTTCCAGCCCTATTCAGGGCAGTGCAAAAAAATACAGCTTGGGAAGTATAACCAGCCCTTCACCTCTTTCTTCACCCACTTTCTCACCGATCGCATTTCAAATAGGAAAGACTCCACTCCCGGGTATGTTTCATAAGAAAATACCTAATTTCAATTTTTATGTTTACCAACATTTGTTATTAAAGAAGTTCTTTTTTAGGTTGTTGTAACTATAGAGCTCTGGGACGCCTGGGTGGCTCAGCAGTTGAGCGTCTGCCTTTGGCTCAGATTCCTAGGATCGAGTCCCACATTGGGCTCCCTGTGAGCCAGGGAGCCTCCTTTGCCCTCTGCCTGTGTCTCTGCCTGTCTCTCTCTCTCTGTGTGTCTCTCATGAATAAATAAATAAAACCTTAAAAAACAAAAACAAAAAAAACTATAGAGCGCTGACTACTAACCTTCTTAAATTTAAAAGCTGGCCTTTTTACAAAAGGAACAATACCTGGATTCTCGACAAAGTTCTATGCTAGTGTTAAACACAGATCATCTGATTAGCAGTATTTATATCAAGAATTCCTATAAAGGAAATCAGAAAAAGATTAACCTTAGAGTTAAGTTGGTTTCTGTGTACCTTCTGATCTGCAGGTTCAGACTTTGGTAATCTCATATTCATATTCATATTTTGTAAAGATATATTTGTTTAAGACTTGTAAATATAGTGTGTGGAAATTTACATTATTTCTCTTTGTAGTGAGTTAATTTCTCTGAAAAAATTATAGGTCCTTTTGAAAAAATTACAATAAAAAGCTATTCATAATAAATTGGAAAACTCAAAGCTATTTTTGTTAATCTTTATGTACTTTTGCATAAATGCGTATATTCTTTGTGTGGAGATAGACACACACACACTCTGGTTCTGTGGTCTGTTTTTTTTTTTTTTACCAAGTATCGTATTAGAATATTTTTGTAGGTCATTCAAATCATTTATTACTGTATGAAACAATGATTTTTGAATCATTGATCATGGATGTATTATTTGTTTTCAACTACTGATGAACATTTAAATTTTTCTAATTTTTCTTTATCAAAAAACTATTTTTGTGTAAACATTGTGTTGTATGTATTTGTATCTTCAGGTTAAATTCTCAGAGGTGTAATTATTTGGTCAAAAGGGGTAATTGTTTTTTTTTTTTTAATATTTTTTTTACTTATTTATTCATGAGAGACAGACAGAGAGAGAGGCAGAGACGCAGGCTGAGGGAGAAGCAGGCTTCATGCAGGGAGCCCAATGTGGGATTCAATCCTGGGTCTCCAGGATCAGGCCCTGGGCTGAAGGCAGGCGCTAAACCATTGAGCCACCTGGGCTGCCCTGATTGTTTTTAAGGAGCTTGATGAATTTTGTCAAATTTTCTTCATAAAAAGTTGTACCAATTGAATTTTCATCAATAGTATGTAAAAAAGTTTCTCCCATTTAGAAACACTGATATTACTGTTTCTTAACTTATGTTACAGAAATGTGTCTCTTACTGCTTTAATTTTTATATCTTTGATTGTGATGGTGTTGAACTCTTCCCGAATATTTATTGGCCCTTTACTTTGGGGAGGCATTCTTAGTTCCTACTTAACTTTTTGTTAAACAAATGCTTATTGCTTTGTCCTCCATATTCTTTATTATTTGTGTGGCTGACCACTTCATATATTTATTTGCCTTTGGGGGGATTGTTTATGGGCTTTTGCCCATTTTTTTAAACTTTTGTTTTTATTAAGCCAGTGAAGTTATAAAAATATTACATTTTAAAGCACTTTTATCATTTTATCATTGTTAAGCTCTTCATTATTGCAAATATCATTTTACAAATTTATGCTTGCTTTTTAACATTGCTTATAGTATTTTGCAGTGTTTTTACCTCCTTCATTTATCAGCTACAGCTATTAATTTGTAGCTCTTGGCTGATTTGTTCAATATCTTCTTTGTATATGAACACTAATAGTAGCAGTATGTTTACGAAGAAATAATTCTCAGGGATTAGATTATTTTGTTTAAATAAAAGGAAGTGCCAGAGGACTTCTTTTTGAAGACTCTTATACCCTACTTATTGAGACAAATTCATTTGTGCTTTGTTTTTAACACCAAAATTTCACTTCAATAAATAGAATGTTCTAGAAATCCAATTTTTCTGGCATTAAAGCATGATTACCATTTAGTAATGTCTTTTCCATTTGCATGTTTTTATGACGCAGTTTTTCCCTTTCTTTTAGAACAAAGGAAGTTTACTTTTCATTCTCCTGATAATTCGTCTGGAACAACAAATTCTAATGGAATTACTAATCCATGTATCAGAAGTCCTTATATAGATGGCTGCTCACCAATTAAGAACTGGTCTCCTATGAGACTTGAGATGTGTACGGGTGGTACTCCGTACCGGACCTCACTGATTCGGATACCTTTTGCTCTCGAGGCTCACAGTGAAGATGAAGAAGATCAGGTGAATCTTCCTCCTACAGATGCCTCGTCACCAGCCATGGACACTGGTGGACTACACCTGCAGCAGTTGAATAGTGACGCTTCTCCACATGGCACACATTTAGTAGTGACTGCCATGTCGATTACACAGAATCAGTCCAGCACTTCTGAGAAAGAATTAGCACTGTTGCAGGATGTTGAAAGTGAGAAGGAGAACAACACTGTGGATATGGTTGATCCTATAGAAATAGCAGATGAGAACACTTGGATTAAGGAGCCGGTTGATAATGGGAGTTTGCCCATGACTGATTTTGTGAGTGGGATTGCCTTCAGTATTGAAAACTCTCATATATGCATGTCACCTCTTGCAGAAAGCAGTGTCATTCCTTGTGAAAGCAGTAACATTCAGGTAAGATATTTTAATATTCTAGAGTGCTTTTCTCTTATTCTGTCTTTTTTTGAGATTATACTAAGAAAGAAGATGGGTTAAATGTGAGAACTGTAGTATCATATAACTTTATATATAACATTTTTAAAAAACATTCATACATGGTGATACTAAGAGGATTAGTTTCTTTTAATTGGGACTGGTGGTGCATATTTAATATTTACATTAACTGATACTTCAAATAAAGAGTAAGGAAAGATGAGAGCAGACAAGAAATCAAGCTGCTCTGTTTTTATAGAATGCTAGGGTCAGGCTACTTCTAAGGATTCATCTCTCTCATGTGGACCGAGCACCAAAAAAATTCAGTTCCTGGTATAGTATTTGTCTTTTAAAATTGCAGTAGTTTTTGTTTTTCCTTTATATGATTTGGGGAGGAAAAAAACATAGAGGTTAGAGCAGTTTTATGTATATGCTTTTTTGTACTTTTAAAAAATGATTTATAAGCAACATTTTTCATGTAACCACACATTTCCAATTTTGCAGTATCTGACAGCAGAGAAACGATCCATTTGACAAACTTTAGAGCCAGCATTTACTTTTAGAAAGGTATTTGTTCCATTACTTGCTATAGTTGGGGCTGAGAATTTTGAAACAACTTTAAAATAGGAAGGCAATTCTTACCTGCCATTTCATAGTAACATCTAATAACACTTAAGTAGTTCTTACCGTTTTCCAGGCGTTATTCTGAGTACTTTACATGTGTTAATTTATTGACTCTTGTGAGATAGGTGAACTGTTATCTCCATGTTCCAATAGGGTAACTGAGGATCAGAGAGGTTAAGTAAATAAATTACCTCTATTGGTAGCGAGTAGTGGTGCCACGATTTGAATTCTGGCAGTATGGCTTTAGAGTTCACATTCTTTAATCAGAGTTTATAGTGACTCAGTGATAACTAACATGTACACAGTGTTTCAATATGCCAGGTGCTTTTCCAACACTGTATGTAGTCATTCATTTTATTCTTCCACCACCATATAATGTTTTAGTGCTGTCAGTTTTGGAATGCTAAAATTTAAAACTCAGAGGGATTCTAAATGACCCCAAATAAATATAATCATCTGCTCATATTTTTATGTCTCTATTGTCTTTCCTGACTTCTCAGGATCATTGCTCAGAAAAAATACACTAGAATCACTTTTATATGTGTTAGCTTCTAAATTTGATTCCTAAGTGAAAAAGCACTTACAGGTTAGTTTAGCCTTCAAGGTATTGTTAACTTCTTTTCTCTCCCTTTTCCTCACTGCCTCTTTTTTTTTTTTTTTCCAGAGCATTTATAAGAAGAATCAAAATACTTTCATTGAAATAAACTTTAATCATCCCACTGGAAACCTGTATCATTACTAAATTGTCATCCACTCTATACCTGAGTGCCTGCAGGGATATTCTAGTCCATTTTAGGGCTTCTCTTATCATTACAAGCCTCTTCCTTATATTGAGCTAAAATATGGTTCTGTCTGTGAGATCTACCAGTTTTAGTTTGACCCTTCAGGCCGTATCATAATGTTTAACTTTTGCAGAGCATTTTATTGTTTAAAAAATGTCTTCAGACATTCTTATTTTCCTACCACAAAGGTAGCTTCTAAACATTTGTAGACAGCCATATTTTCCCAGGGCCCTTTTGACTTGCTTTATTGTAGACTGGTTGGCTTCCTGTGTGGTACATGCTGGCAACCTAGAAGATCCCTTCATCAGACTGGGGATTCCCTTCACCTCTCCTGTCTTCTGTCTCCCTTCACCTCTCGTATGTTTTCTACATTCCATTTTTCTCTTTCCTGGTTTACCTCTCACTTTATTGGAACACATTTTCTGATGGCTTTGTGAAAGTTCATTTTGTAGGTACTGTAGGTCTGATGTATCCTTCATTCTCTCACATGAGATTTTGGAAATAATTGTCCTTCAGACTTTGAAGGCATTGTTTCATTGATTCTATTCCATTCTTGCTGGTGAGAGAGCTAAAACCATTTTAATACTTGATCTCTCTTTTACCTACCCCTGGACATTCTTTTTGCCTTTTCTTTGTTTTCAGTGTTAAGAAATTTCAGTGATTCTTTGGTGTATCTTTTCATCCATAGTACTGGACACTCAGCAGAGCCTTACAATTTGTAAACTCATGTCCTTCATTGTTGGATCTTCTTTTGAATAATAGATTTTTCCTATCTTACACATTTCTTTCTGGAATTTCCTTTTAATTCTCCAATTTTTAAAAATCTTTCCAAGATATTTTTTATCTTTTTTTCTAATTTTTGGAAGTTTCCCAGCGTTACACAATAACCCTTCTATTATTTTTTGTTTGCACATCTTTATAAGGTTTTGAGGGGCTTGAGAGGGTTGTTTTGTTTTTGCTTTTGGTATTAATTTAAAAATTTGTAGCATGGCTGGCAAAGTATCCAGTGGTCTGGCCTTTGCCTTATATTCATCAGCTTTGTTTTGTTTCCCTTCATTCTCTTTGTTTCAGTCACATTAGCTTTCCAGTTTTAAGTAACCATGTTCCTTCTTGTCAAAAGAGCCTTTCCATATACTACTTAGAATTCCTCTCTCTCCCACTTTACCTAGTTAACTATTAGTTTTTTAGCTCACAGCTTAATGATCATATCCTCAAAGGAGCCCCCCTCCCTGATCATACTAGCCAAGCCAGATCTCATTATATCCTTTCATAATTCCACGTACACTTTGCATTCTTTCCAATCAGACTGTTTATCGAGCAATCATGTATGTTTTGGTTTATCCCAGAGCACGTAATAGCTACTTGTTAAATATTTGTGAAATGAAAACAGAGTGAATGTATATGTAAGTTCAACCAGGACTGTATAGAGTGAGAACAGTGAGCCAATCAATGTTTGGAATCCTGATGAAACTTTGAGGGTTTGGTAAAGGAAGCAGAGCCCCCAAAGGAAACTGAGAAGGACCAGCCAGAGAGGAGAGAGGGAGGTGAGGAAAGCATAGTGTCATGGAATATCTTAAAGAAAGAATGGTTAGTTCTGTGAAAATAAGAGCAAGGGACATAGGGCTTGAAAAGTGGCTATTGAATTAAAAATGGAAGTAATTTGGTGAGTGAACAGCCTCAGGTGGAGTGGTGAAAAGTGAATGAAAGAGGAAGGTAAAGGAGGTGAAGTAGTGAAAAAAACTGTGTAGATAACTCTTTGAAGAACTTTAATTGTGAACAGAAGGGTTATTGTAGCTAGAAAAGAATATTAAAGTTTAAGATCTTTTCAAAGTTTCTTTTTTAACTTTGTTTTTACTTTAGATGGGAGAAACTAGCATATTTAAATGGAAAGGAAGAAGAATAAATAAAAAGAACAAAGAAAACTAGAAATTGGGCAGGACAATTATTAATAGGTATTGATTATATATCCTTTTCAAGTACCAGAACCCAGGGCAAGTGTTTTACAGTTAGAATCTAATCCTCTTGGTGCAATGAATATAATCTGTAAAATAGTGATGAGTTTTATACATGAAGGAACGGAGATGGGATAGAATCTAGAGCTCTGGTAGGAGGATTAGCTACAGGTAACCCTTCCACTTTCGTAGGGGGCCAGGGTATTGGGGCTAGGATGGACGTGGGTGCATATATTTGTAGCTGAGGGCTAGCATAGCTTTAAGGAGCTTGGATTTGGGAAAGCAAAATGGCGGGTTTCAGTTTATTTCCTAGCTCAGTTTTATCAATTTCAGGAAGTGAGAGCTTTGAGCTTGTTCCCTCTTATTTAAAATGGGGACAATAAGAGGATTGTAGAATAATAGTTGAATCATGAGTTGAGTTCATGTGAGTATACTTAAAGTGCCTAGACACTCCCTTAAGTAATGGGCGACAAAGTCTTCTGTAGCAAGCAAAAGGGGCAGAGTATGATAAGGAAGATGAAGGCAATGAGGGAGGGGCGAAAGTGCCTAGGCCTGATTGCAGGGAAAGCACTGTAAGCCACTCTGCTTGCCAGTTGCGAACCTGAATCTGGAATGTTTCTGAAATACCACATCTGGTTTATGTGGGAGAAAAGTACAGGAATGGTGTGTAGGCTGATTGGCAGTAGAAACATCATTTATAGGCAGCATAGTCCAACTGGAAGTCTACATTGCATTCAGAACTGAATTTGAATTAGTTCTATCATTTATAGGCTGTAGATCTTAAGGCAAGGTCCACTTCACAGTGAGTAGGGCAGGACTTATTTTTTTTTTTTTAAGCACCTTATTCTTCTTAGCTATAAGACGTTGCTGATGCCTGGTGTTGGTTTTGTTTTGGTTTTTGTTTTGCTGATGCCTGCTTTGATGCCTGTGGGGAGTTAGATGATGATGTATATTGTCTGGTTGGTCCATGGTGGGTGTCACCATTAGTAGTGGTCTAGATGAGAGCCAGTGCAGTCAGCTGCCATCTTATGGGTCTGCCAATTGATTCTTCTCTTCCTAGGGAAAAGAATCTTCTCTTCCTGTGTCTTACTCTTTTTTTTTTTTTAAATTTTTATTTATTTATGATAGTCACACAGAGAGAGAGAGAGAGAGAGAGAGAGAGGCAGGCAGAGACACAGGCAGAGGGAGAAGCAGGCTCCATGCACCGGGAGCCCGACGTGGGATTCGATCCGGGGTCTCCAGGATCGCGCCCTGGGCCAAAGGCAGGCGCCAAACCGCTGCGCCACCCAGGGATCCCTCTGTCTTACTCTTTATGTATTAACTCTTCTCTTGAAATACTCAGTTATGCATTACTATTAAGTTGTATAAACCAGTTGTTTGGCACTGGTGATAAAAGGAAGAGTAATTGGCGGATTCTCTGGAAGCAATCGGATAATTAACAATTTTGATCAAATAGCTGTCAAATGGTAGTAGAGCCAGGTGTTTCCCTCTGGAATAGAAAGGAAGATTCTTTTTTATGTGTCACAGGGTTTTGTTCAAATAGAACATGACTCCCAGTAGTTGAACACACAGGCATTCATCCTTGAAAACTAGAAATGTTTTTCTTAAGATTATGGTAGAATGCACTTTGCTGTGTTTTTTTGTTTTGTTTTGTTTTGTTTTCTAGAATGCACTTTGTGATGGAGACAAAAGTATAGTCTTTTCCTTCCCTCTGATCCTGATTTGCAGAAAGAGTTTCAAAGTGTAGGGTGAACCCCTCATGGGGTTTGGTGTTATTTGGTGCTCAGCACTGTAAGATTGATGCAGTGTGTGTAGTGGACAGGGGCTTGGGAGACTCAGCTCTTCATTGCCTCATTGTGATGCTGTGAAAGTTGACCTTTCTTATTAGCTTCTTCATCTGTGAGGTTTATAGGGTTATTGTAAGGAGAAAGTAGGAATGGTACTATGTAGAGTGCCATATAGGCCATGGGACTTTAGGCATTCAGTAAATATTTATCATGTATGTACGAAAACTGAAGTTTCCAGAATCCCTTTTTCAACTTGGGGCTGCAACAGTACATCCTAGAATGCTACAATTCATTAAAATGAAAATTTGAACTAACATCTAGAGCCATTATGTATATATGGTATTATTATGAATCTAAGATTTGTATTTCAATAATGGTGTATAACTGGCCTTTTAAAATATGTAAATTATTTTGAATAGTCTTAAAGATAGCATGCCTTTTAGGTAAATCCTATTTAGAGATAAAACCAAGGTATTTGGAGACAAGCTTGGTAAAGCTCGAACTGGAAGGTGAAGTTGATTGTAATCCTCACTTTTATCTTCTGGGTGTGATCACAAACAGGAAAGCAAGGTCAAAGTGGCTTGTTCTCAGATTCTAAGGAAACTACAAGATGTATTATACCAAAAGGAATGCTGCAGTACAGTGACAACTTTGAAGAACAACCAGTTCTATGTAGAACTACCTTTTATGTTTCTATATTTTAAATTTCATTCAGTGTGGTCAGTATTAAATAATACATGTATTGTTCACTTGTGAATGGTAGTATATAGTGATTCACTTAAGTGTTTTATATTTATTATATAAATTGTATCTTATATTTTAGAAATACATTTTATATAAATATTTCTAACTTAAACATACAAGTTCCTCAAATTTTATGGATAAGTAAATTAGTCTAGTCTTCAGTGTTATATCCTTGTTTTTCTTTTTTCCTTTTTCCCATCAGATGGATAGTGGCTATAATACACAGAATTGTGGAAGCAATATTATGGATACAGTTGGAGCAGATAGTGATGCACAAACCTTAGAGGTTGAGAATAAATCTCAAGTTTTTAATACAAAGGTATGGAAAAAACGAGATGACATGATATGGTTATAAGTTAGGTTATAAGTATTTACTAAATGTGAATTTTTTCAGGGGCACCTAGCTGGCTCAGTTGGTGGAGCCTGTGACTTTTCATCTTGGGATTGTGAGTTTGAGCCCTACCTTGGGTGTAAAGATTAATAAAATCTTAAAAATTATATAGATGTGACATTTAGTATTTTTCCACCCATTTTGCTTAAAATTTTGTTAGCATGTTTATGCCTGTTTTCAGTTCATCTAACAGCAAAAGGTAGTTTTTAAATCAAAACACTTCATTTTCCTAACTCTAGCTATGGGAGAGGTTATGAGAAGAGGTTGGAGAGGGAGAGCCAGTCCTACGTTGGAATTGGTAACTGAACTCCTTTCCTTAAAACAGGGAATAGAGAGATAAGACATTTTTTTGCCTCTAACATTGTTTCAAAGTTAAACATAAAGAAGAGTTTTGATTAGGAAAATGGTACGAGAGACTACACATCCAAATAACAACTCTCAAAGGTGTAAGGGCTCTTTTCTTAAAATCCAGAAGCCTTTCAAGACTATGAATAACATAGACCTACTGAGTGTACTTTTGATTAGGGCATTTATTGAACTGAGTGTACTTTTGATTAGGGCATTTATTGAACCTTTTAGATAGAATGATTATAACTATGTATGCATATTGAAAACCCATCATAATTTTAGAAACTAATCAGGAGAATCTTTGATTTTGATATGCCAATTTATTCATAAACACAGTAAACACCAGCCAGTGTGCAAATGAACATAGCTCTCTCCAAGTGAATTTTAAGACAGAATATGGAGGCCACCTTAATTTCCCTTTCCTCCATTTTGGCGGGGAATTACAGCTGTTCATTTCAAAGCAAGCAAGCATTAGGGTCCAGGAAAAGGACTTTTTGATAAGAATATTGGTTACAGAAAGCCCTATTTTCACTGTCCCACTAGAATTCATAAGGAAATTTGCATTCAGGTTTAAAACATAGTAGTTGTACCCTTGAATGGTCCTGTTCAAGCAGCAAATATTTTTCCCCCCACAGGAAGAACATGTAACACAGAGGTGTTGAATGAAAACAGCCAATCCTCCTCGAGGCAGAAGCCCATACCTCTCCGAACCAAAGACCATCGTTCAGTGGCTCCTCACATATTTTTTACACACAGGATCAACAATATGATCGTGATTGGGAGAAAGTTGCTTCAACCAACATGCTTATTAGCTTTCCCCCCTTAATGTGAAAAATCAAGGACTTAATTTAATGACATGGGAACAACAGAAAAGCTCCTGGAACTTTCAACTCATTGAAGTACAACTGTATTTTTCATTAATACATATTTTTGTACTTACCTTGATTGACGTGTTTAACAATAAAAAGTTTGAGAGCAAGGACTTTGCTCCTGTCCCAGAGGGTCAGTGACCTGCTTATTAGTAAACCTTACCAACAGCACTGAATTTAGCAGTAGTCTTAAGAACATGTGAATATTAAGCATACTATTTTATGTAAAAATACATGAATATACAGATGAATTTACATATATAACCTTTGTGAAAAATCAATCTGAATTAGCTATAAAACAAACTTAGAGGTGGGAAGGAGATTTAAGCAGGTTTCCAGAATTTTTCATTCTTGATTTGTTCATTTCTGTGTAGAAATTCTTGGTTCCAATCATTACTGTTCACTACTTTTAAAAATGTAAATGCTAAGCCCACTTCATAATGTGGAATTTAAGAAACAAAACAGGATCATAGGGGAAGAGAGGGAGAAATAAGATGAAATCGGAGGGGGAGACAAACCATAAGAGACCCTTAATCATGGGAAACAAATTGAGGATCACTGGAGGGGAGAGGTCTGTGGAAATGGGGTAACTGGGCGATGGGCATTAAGGAGGGCTGGGTATTATATAAGACTGATGAGTTGACCTCTATCTCTGAAACCAGTGAAATATATATATATATATATATATATACTGAATTTAAATAAAATTAAAAAAAATAAATGTACCTACTAGAAAATTAGTACTAACAGCATCTTAAACATCACATATTATTGGTGGGGTAAGTATAGGATGCCCAGGATATAAATCTCTACCCCTAGGGTGGGAACATCCTTTCCAGCTAAAATGTGGCTGGGGAGAGAAATAACCTGGGAGAACCAAGAAAAACAGTGGGGATTGGGCAATGGTGGAGTGTCTGGGGCTTTAGGCCTATTAAAATTATGGTTGGGCAGACACAAAACTAGTTTTTTCAAAATTTATGTTCCTGCTGGGAGTAAAAGTGATACAGAAATTTTTCAGAAATATTCTTTACCTCTGGAGAAGGTATATTCGTATTTATAAACCACCTTTTAAAAATCATCTTCAAAAGGGAGTAATAATTCATATGCAGCCCTAGGAAATAATAAATACTACCATTGTGTCATTTTTCTGCTTTTTTACACCTTGTAACTTGCTAACCTATAAAGACCATTTCTTCCTATGTACTTAACTCCTCCTCTCCCCCAGCTGTTAGTCACTAGGTCCACTGCTAAAGATACTCCATTATGAAGTTGAGTCCTTAATCACACAGGCTTACAATCAATATAAACTTAAATAGCAACTGCTGTGCTGTAAAGGAAGGAGCCTCCCTGGCTATGTTTTTTTTTTAATAGTACAAGAAACAAGGACGTAGTAATTATACTTTGGATTCAAATTCTCCTGTCACTTCTTGATCTGGGCCAGAAAACCTTAATCAGTCCTCTCATCTATTAAATGGTGGGGAGGTGCAGGGGATAGTCTTACCCAACAGGGCTTTTTAAATGTAATATTCTATGTATACTGCTTCGCGTAGAAACTGACATTAGAAGCATTTTAGATTACTTAGGATGAGGTTTTAGAGTAAAAATAAGGATTCTTCTGGTCACTTGAACTACCCAATAAGGACTAATGCTTTAGACCGAGACCCAAAAAAAGAAACTTGGAAAGACAGGTTAGCTATTGCCTTAACCAAGAAGCCTCCCTTTCCTACTGCTGCAAGTAAACCATGGGCTGTCAGCAAAGGACTTTTAAATGGTGGGGAGGTGGAAATCAAATGGGTTTTGTGACACGAGAGTTACAAAATTTAAATTTAAGGTTTTGTTGGAACATAGCCATGCTTGTTTATGTATTGTCTTATGGCTGCTTTCACACTAAGAGTTGAGTACTATGGTTGTAGCCAAGACTGGCTAGCAGAGTCTAACATGGCTGGTCCTTTAGAAAAAAGGCTCACTGACAACTGCTCTTGGATGTTAGCCCATTACTTGGACTCAAGACCACTCACAGTTACCTTCGTTCAACTGAAACAAGTTCTGCCTCAATGTATGGATGTTTCCCTCAGTAGTAGGAAACTGGAACAATAATAATAGACAGCCTAAATGATCGTACATGTGGTAGTTATTCCCACTTAGTTGTACCTGCTGACGTATTTGCTGTTCCTTTCTCAGTCTACTGCAAGCTCCTTTAAGGCAGAAATAGTTTACTTGACTTGGTGATGAGCCTGGTACATTTTAAGTACTTTAAAAATTGAATAAGCAAAGTAAAATAAGATTAAGAATCAAAATATTCTTAAAAAATACTTAAACGTTACTAATCTTTGTGGTTGAATAAGGCACACCAAATTGTAAACTTTACTTCATTCTGTTCCCTTTAATAGGTCATTAGACAATCCCCGTTCCCACAGAACCTGATACATGTATAGTTTAAAAGCCACTCATGAACCTGCTTTTTATAAATAACATGATGCAGACGTTTAAAGTGCCATTTCTATTTGCTCTCTGAGCCCCTAATGCCTTATTTGGGGGGAGGTCTGAGCTAAAGGTCAAGGATGATGATGATCATACTTACTACCTGATATTAAAAACTTTTTCCAGTCGATCAAAATATCCTACTTGCCTTCCTATAACATTCAATTCTCAGACACTCACAGCTGTTCAAGGACCACTAATAAGAATGCAGGAAGCTTCTAAAGGTAAAAGTTTATAGGAAATTCACATAAATTAGATAAAGATGGCAAAGGACTGAATTCCTTGACAAATCTTGACGTCATTGTCTTGAAATCTAAAAACTGCCATACCAAACATGGACAGCTTTCAAGATTTAGAAACAGGTTCTAAACAGATTCTGACTTCTAAAAATGTTCTACTTTCCTCCATAGGAAAATGATAGGTTTTTTCTATTAATATTAAGTAATCAAATTACTTATATAAAGTTAATCTGTTCTTTAGTGAGCAGATGAATGCTCCATCTAAATGATCTTTACAGATCCCTGAGGTTGCTATCTTGTCACTATTTAAGTGATGGATATTCAATTGAATTTTTATGCATAAATAGTTCTGTTCAATCCCAAAATGAAGTATATGGACAGACATGGTCAATAAACAGTTCAATAAAAAAAAATGCAAATTTTTAAAACCATTGAAATGTATTTAAAAGTAACAAACTGTATCACATACTTCTTAGGTTTAAAAGTGTTCTCTCAGGTTTTTTTTGTTGTTGTTTCTGTTTTCGTTTTGTTTTACGGAAACCAGTCTTTGAAGTTTTTTTGTTGACTATAGCTATTTCTCATGTTTCTTTTTCTTTCTCTCTGGTTCATCACTGTCCATGTTTGGAGTATCAGCCAGAATGCTTATTCCTGGAATCTAAAGTAATGCAAACGGAAAAATAAGGTGAGTAAAAGCATAAAATAACGAATCAATCTCATCTTCCCCTTCCCCACTAACATTTTCAAATTTAAAAGGATGTGAGTGAGGATAGAGAGGGGAAAGAGATTAAGATTAGTAAAGGGTCTTCCACACAAAGTATACATACTTCACAAATAGTGGTTCAAAAATGAAGACAGGCACAATCTCAATGTGTGAGAAGCATGTCCTGAGACAGTGTGGTTTAGCTAGAACATGTCCAGTTTGTCCTAGCTGAGCCACTGACAGCATCAGAGGCCTCAGGTGTGCTGGGGCAAACAAAGAACTAGTATCTTGGAACACCTGGATGGCTCAGCGGTTGAGCATCTGCCTTCAGCTCAGGGCATGATCCCAGGGTCCTGGAGTCCCGGTATCAAGTACCACACCAGGCTGCCTCAAGGAGCCTACTTCTGCCTCTGCCAGAGCCTGTCTCTCTCTGTGTCTCTCATGAATAAATAAATAAAATCTTAAACAAAAGAACTAATATTTTAGGGTGAAACATGCTTAATCTTTAAAACTGCCGATTTCAAAACTGATAAAAGTGAAAAGGGACCAGGCAGGAGATCTCAGACAGCTCTCTGCCTTTGGTACTGAGGACCTTTTCCAAAGAATCCCAATTGTCTGGGAGCCCATAGCCTAGGGAAACCGGTGAGAAAATAGCATTTGTCATGCAAATATCTGGCTCACACACTACTTGTAAGACCCCTATTCTTGAACAGAAATAACTTAGAACTACATCCCTCTCTTTCACACAATATGTACCTTTTCTACCATCACAACATGGACAGTGAAGTTTGGTCTTACCTGTGGTTCTACCAGAGACATTCGGATTTTCTGATGCTGGAGATTGGATGAGTCTAGCATGATTTTCACTTTAACTTTATCAAATATATGGAACACTGTATCCTCTATTTTAAGGGAAGGTACCTAAATAAAACATATTTTACTTTATCTTTCACATTAAATTTAAAAAATTACTTCCATATTTAATAAGCACCGAGGTGTTCACTATAATCAAAACCATTAGCCTAATAGCTTTACATATACATGACCCACTTATGTGCATACTCCCCACCTCTCAGTAAGATGGTCCCAATATATATATTCATTAATCTCAGGATCCTCACCCCACTAATGACCAGATTGCTGGTCTACCAGAGAAAAAGGTTCTGTGGGCAAAGTTTGCTGTGTTACAGTTCTATTAGAGTTAGGGCAGTAGAGAGCATGTCAAACACTGGAAACAGGTTTAAAAAATTCCTGTCTGAGCAATAAGCGGCCATTTATTCTTTTACTCTGATGCACTTGTCCACCGAGTGCAAAGCATAATTCAGGTTTTCCTGAGGGGAGGAAACTACATGGTATGAAACAAATCAAGGACAACATGAGAATGTGGGAAAATATACTGAAGTGAGAAATTATGAATAGAATCAGCTTATTAGTTGGTACAATTAAACTCTGTAGGATAAAAAAAAATAATTGT